CTGGGTCCCCGCAGCAGACACGTCCTCTCTTCTCGGGTTTATTTTAAGCCCCGTAAGGGTGTCGTGCCGTAGATTTATGGGTTTGTACACCAGACAGTTTCGCCGCCCTAACGCTCCAGCCCTTCCATCCACGGCCAACGAGAAAACAGGGTCCCGTTTGGCAGCCGCGCCGCGCCGGGGCCGAGAGTTTGAAAGAGGAAAGTGTTACGTGAACTGCGCGTCGGCTCGGGGCTCCGGGACCGGCCCCGCCCGCGGGTCCCGAGCGTAGCCGGCCGGTAGCCGGGGAGGGGCGGCGTGGCCCTCGGCCCCCGCCCGCGGGTCCCGCGCCCGGGATGGAGGGCCCGGGCATTTGCAGGGAAACGGCAGAGAGGCGAGGTACCGCCGCGCAATCTGTTAGTGATTTGGCGGGGTGGGAATTTCCTTTCTCGGGCCTGCCAGGGGGAGAGCTTTTCCAAATTTCCACCACGGGGAAGCCTGCGATTTTACATAATGACTTCAGCATGCCGCGCTCCGGAGCCCCTCGGCCCAGCTCCCCCACCGCCCGCTTCGGGCGGAGAGCGACTCCCGGGACCCCGCTGGGCCCGGCCCGGGCTGGTCCGTGCGCCTGGCGCCCCCGCGCGCACCCCTGCCCGCTGCCCTTGCTCCCAGGCCCGGAGAGGGGCGGCCCCGCGGGGAGGGGCCGGCGCTCGGCACCGGTCCCCGCGCCACGCCGGACAGGCGGGGGCGTGATGTCACGGCAGGGAGGGGGCTCGGGAGCGGCTGGGCGGCGGGAGGCGGGGGAGGTGTTTTCCAGCTTTAAAAAGGCAGGAGGCAGAGCGCGGCCCTGCGTCAGAGCGAGACTTTGAGACTCCCGAGTCTCCGCGAGGGATCCGCTGCCGGCGCGGGCGCACGCCTCCGACCCCGCTGCCGCCCCCCGCCGCCCCGCTCGGGTCCCGGCCGCAGACGTCCCGCCACGCGCGCGCACACTCCCCTCGATGACATTTCTCCGGGGAGCGCGGCGCTGAGCCTGGGCTGCGCGCGTCCGCTGGGGAGTCTGCCGCCCCGGAGCCCGACCCCGGCGGTGCCCGCTCCTCCTCCTGCTCCGCGCCGCCGCGGCCGCGTGGATGCCAAGTACCAGTTTTCCAGTCCCTTCCAAGTTTCCACTCGGCTCTCCGGCTGCAGTCTGCGGGAGAGAAGAAACTTTGGGGCCCGCGCCGCCCGCCGGCGGCACCATGAAGTCGGCGGAGGAAGGTAAGCCGGCAGCCACCGCCCCTCAAGCAGCCCCCAGCCCCGGCCCCGGCGCCCCCTGCCCCGCGCCCACCGCCCCCCGCCCCCTGGGCGCCTGTGCCGCCCTCACGCCCTGGGGATCCGACCCCAGGAGGGCCCAGCTGGCCCCCGGCGTATGCGCACGGGGAGGGGCACGGGTCCCCAGCGCGCTGCACAGATTGGGAAGCGGTGTCCCCCTGGTGTTTCCCCGGAGAAGCCCTGATCTCGAGCGCGCCTTCTTGCCAATAGGTGTCTCCTCTTCTCTAGCGCTAGTGCGCGCGCACGGCCTTCGCGGGTGCAGCCTCGCGGTGAATCCCGGTTGTAAAAACTCATTTCAAATGCGGGCGGTTCGGGAACTGGGTGAAGTGAGGGCCGTCGGAACCACCAAGGACACTTTGGGATAAAGCGCCGTTTGGGGAGGACGAAGGGCGGCCTGGTTCCTAGCGCTGTGCGGCAAGGCCGCCCTGTGGCTTCGAAGACCAGCCGAGGAGAGGTGTGGGGGCCGCGCCCCTCCAGGAGCGCGCCCTCGGAGCGCAGCCCCCACACCCGCCTCCTTGCCGCGGATCCCGCTGGGGGCCCGTCCGCGGGAGGCCGGTCAGCAGGGCTGTCGGAACGCAGCCCCAGATTTTAGCTGTTTTAATCCTGTGGACACGGGAGTTCCAACCGTAGAAAATGTTTCAGGACAGTTTGAAAAGTGACCGCCAAGTTTCCAGCTGCTTGTTTATAGTCACAGGATGGCACGGTGTCTGCCCTGCAGCCGGGGGATGGCGAGTCCCCTGCTGACAGCGAGCTCACCACCCCCCCCCCCGGCCGTCACCTCTGTCCCTAACGAGACCCAGCGTGACCAAAGCAGCAGGGACCTCCCCCGGGAGGCTCCCTCAGGTGTCCAGAAACCAGGGAGAGGGTGGCCACCCCGCCCCCCGGGAGGAACGGAGGTGACAAGGGCACGGGGAAGCAGGCGACACCTTCCCAAAGGCCCTCTCATGCTGAAGCAGTTTATTTAGATTATTTTAAGGAAGCTGGCAAACCTGCCCATGCCTAACGAGGACTCACATTTTATAAGGGCGGACACCCTTCTGCGAGCGCTAGAAAGTGCAGGCTGCTGCTTCCTGCCGGGTCCAGCCAGCGCCAGGCCTCCGAGCGCGGCTCCCAAAGCCGGGGAGCCCCGGGGGGCCGCCTGCCCTCCGCAGGCGGCTCAGGCCACACGCTCGGCACCGGCCCCGGTCGGCCGCGGCCTGCTGCCTCCCGCGGCTGAGTGTGGTCTGTGTCAAGGAAGACGTGTCTGATGTTTCTTGCCATTTCATCTCAACTGAGAGAATGTTAAAAGGCAAATGTCAGGAAATGTTTACTGGACCAGCTCTTGCTATTAAGAAATGTTTTTAAAAATTGTTGAGGGTTGGATTGTACACCCTTGGACACTTATTTCAAAGTTTCCCCCACACATTTCTTATCACTGTTTAAAAAAAAGAAAAGAAAGCCACAGGCCTTTCAAAGTTCAGATTTTCTGTTTTTTTAACTTGAGCCGTCAGGGGTCCGTCCTGCGGCGAAGTCTCTTGCTCTGACAAGAGGAAAAACCATCGTGGGGGCGGTGCCGAGTTTTCCTGTTTCCTCCCGACGAAGCTGTGGTGCAGAAGTGCCTCCGCGGAGAGGCCGCGTGCCAGGTGCAGCGCGCCCTTGCCTGAGCGAGCGTTGCTGTTGTTGTCTAAGGAGGGCGAGGAGGCGAACCGGAGCGTGTGCCCTCGCCCGCGGTGCACACGGGCCCCCCGCCGGGCAGGGCCCCGCAGGCCAGCACCCCCGCGGCTGAGGCCGGGGACGGCCCGTCCTTCTGGCCTCGAGCTGGGCCCACAGGGCCTTGGGTGCTGTCTCCAAGTCTCAGCCCCTCACCCCTGCCCCGGTTCAACAGCCTCTGGGCTGTGGCCCGTGAGGTGCCGGTGTTTCCGAGGCCCCCGCGCGGAGTGCCGAGGTGTCCCGTGGCCTGTGAGGTGTCGGCCTGTAGGTAGCCGCCCACCCACCGGTTCAGAGGCTGCTCCCCGCGGAACATGCCCCCAGGCTCCCAGAGCAGAACAAAGCCGCCCTGTTCTCCTGCCACTTCACTTTGTGGCCTTGTTTCCTAACCCAGATGAGCAGGGCGCTGGACCCCTCGGTGTCACCCCAGGGCCGGGGTGCTGCTCCCGGGAACACCCGCAGCCCCAGGAAGCGCCATACCAAACATCCCGTCGAAGCCGAGTGTCTGCTCCAGGGCAAGACGGAAGTCTCGGGGCGCTGGGGAGAGGGGCATTTTAAAAAGCTGCCGCCTGCCGGTCCCCTTGGTTGGGGATCTGAAAGGAGGTGGAGACCAGCTCCGCCTTGGGAAGGGCAGCCCTGAGCCCGCTGGCCCGGCCCCGGGACCTGGCGGGACCCCGGCCCGAGGCGTGGGCCCACCCCCTGCGGGACAGCGGAGCAGAAAGTTTCGGTCTAAGCAGAGGATCAGGGCTGTTGTCTGTGTGTCGGGGTTTCGCGGAGATGAGAAGGTGGCTGAGGTTAAAAAACAAACCCAGAGAGAGAAAACGAGACGGCGCCGCTTCTCGACCGAGAGCAGAGCTTCCATTCGCCTGAAGGTCAGCAGAAAAAGCAAACTAAAACAAAACAACGCTCCAACATACATTGCGAAGTGAGAACTATTATTAGAAACTAAATCAGGCCAAAGTGAACTATAGTTTATCACGGGAGAAAACCAGCCCTTTGTAAAGGGTCACGGGAGACACGCGTCTGGGGGGCGGGTGGGGCCGCGTGACCAGCGGGGTCTCTGCTTCTCCGGCGGGAGGGCCGGGGCGGCGGGAGGCGCTGCCTGAGGGCCTGGCACCTCCCCCCTCTTGCCCTCGGACCCGCCCAGTGCGCCCCCTCTGCAGGGTGGCCTCCGCCACCCTCTCCTGCTGGTCCAGATATTGGCGTGCAGGGCGCCAGGACGCTGGGGACAGGCCGCACAAACAGCTGGAGGGAGGGCAGAGGGCCACAGCAGAGCGCCCGGGCCTGGTCCTCTGCACTGGGCGCTCGGGCGCGCTGCTCGGCGTCCCCGGCCCGGGGTTCGAGCCCGGGGCCTCCCCGGGCGCCGCGGTGGGGGCTACTCCGGGCGCCCAGGAGCCAGCCGTGCCATTCGGAGGTTGGGGACTAGAGCAGGGGAGGCGCGATGGAAAGAGTGGGTGCCCCAGAGGCCGGGGCCTGGGAGTCAGGCGCAGACACTGGAGGCAAGGAGGCCGCCAGCGCGGGGAAGCGGGTGTGGGAGCCCCGGCCCGCCCGCCGTGCAGGGGGCGCCCTCCCCGGGGAGCTCCCGTGCCCGGCACTTCATCGCGGTGCTGTCCCGAGCCTGGGGCAGGCGGTGGCGCTGGGGGTCCAGCCGGCGCGCGCGCTTTAACAGCAGCCAAGCCGCGGGCAAGCAGATCGTGGGCCTGGAGACAGTGTCCCGTCGCTCCGGCCACAGCCACTGCTCCTCGCGCCACTCGGTGTCATGAAGGAGTCAGCCGGGCGCGCGGGGGTCGCGGGCGGAACCGTGTCCCCTACGCCCAGGGACCCAGCGCAGACGGGGACACTCTGGGGTCCCGCCCGCGGGCGGGGCGCTGAGGCGGGGGCGCGAGTGACAGGCGCGCGCTCCGGCTCCGGAGTTTATTTAAAACTCGGGACGCAGCCGCGGAGTCTTGTTTGTGTGAACCCGGAAACGCGGGGGAGGGGCCGGAGCGCGGGCGGGGGAGGGGCGGCCGGAGTCACGTTACCGGGACGGCCGAGCGCTGGGCGCAGCCGAGCCGGGCGGCGACCACAGGTGCCCGCGGCCGGGACCCTGCCGAGCCCGGCAGCGCCCCGCGCCGCGCCCCGCGGCCCCCCATCCGGCCTGGCCCTTGACCCCGGCCCCCGGCCCGGCCCTGACCCTGGACCTCCGACCCTGGCAGTGACCCCCGATCCCGGACCCCGGCCCCGGACCGAAGCCGATCCTGGACCCCGATCCCCGACTCTGGACTCCGACCCCGGACTCCGGACCGGCCCGTCCGACATGACGGGGCCGGAGGACCAGGAGTTCGACTTTGATTTCCTTTTCGAATTTAACCAGAGCAACGAGGGCGTCCCTGGCGTGGCCCCAGGTGGGTCCCTGTGTGCAGGGGTCAGAGGAGCAGGTCTCAGGCGACCCGGGTGCAGGCGGGGCGCACTGTCTGGGGTGCAGGGTCCCGGGGCACAGGCATGGGGTGCAGACCGGGGTGCAGGGTCGGAGGCAGAGCGCCCAGGGGCACAGGTCCGGGGTGGAGGGTCCAGGTCCCACAGGACAGAGGTCGGGAGGAGCCGGCTTGGGGGGCAGCCGGGGACCCCAGCAGCCCCTCCCCTCCTCTCTACCCAGGAGCACCCCCACCGTGTCCCCTGGCCCCACCCCCGCCGGGTCAGGGCAGGGCAGCACCCACAGCGTCCCCACCTCCTCTGTCCTGCCCCCAGGCGCGGTGCAGCGGGTAGAAAACAGGTCACGTTTAATGGCCAGCGGGCGGGGAAGCCCCTGTGAGGCCCTCGGTGTCACCGCTTAGCCTCTGGGGTCAGAGCCCCGGGTCCCCAGCCTGCAGTCCTGCTTGTGCTGGCCCCGGAGCCTTTCCGTGGAGGGGCCTCTGCCCAGCGCAGGCCAGGGGACAGACGCGTCCAAGGCCTGGCGTGCGCAGAGCCTGGGGACAGGTGGCGAGTGGCCGCCGCCAGAGGGCAGGGGGGCCGGGGAGCCCCCCCATCTGTCCTGGCCTCAGGCTCCGAGCCCCTCCCGGGCCCAAGTTAAAGTGGAAGGAGCCCAACGGCGGGGGCTCAGACGGCAGGGCCTTTTCTTTCATTTTCTTTGTTAGAACAAAGGGAACCTGCTTCCCCCCCCCCCCCGCCGCCCGCTGAGCGGGGCTCTTGAGTAAGAAGAGAGCCACTGAGGAAGTCCCAGCCGGGCCCGTCTGTCCCCTCTTCCGGTGGGTCTCCCACTGTCGTCTCCCGCGCCCACGTGGCGGCGGGACGGTGGGGCCCTTGGCCCGGCGTGTCTGCAGCAGTTGTATCATATTTTCCACACCGTGCACCGCTCCGCACCGGGCCTAGGCTGCCTGGTCTGCGTTCCCCGCCCTCTCGGTCCACCCTCCCGTCTCTCTGCCGGCGGCGGCGGCTTCCAGGCCTCAGCCGTCACGGGAGCCCTGCCGACAAGGGCAGGCGCCTGCGAGGCCTCCCCGTCCCTGCCGCGTCCGGCGCCTGCGGCCTGGGGCCTGCAAGCGGCTCTGTGGGCACCTGCCGGGCTCACTCCTTCCCAGCTCGCGCAGCCGACGGCCAGTGGCAGGTGCCGGCTCCGACGGCGCTCCGGCCTGTCCGTGGCGCGAACCGGCGGAGTGTCGTGGTAGGAGTCGCGCCGCGCGGCTGCTCAGGGCGGACCCTGCATCTGGCAACGTGCACCTGAGGGTCCTGGGGTCTCTCGGTGGCTCGACAGCTTGTTTCTCTGAGGAGGTGGATGCCCGTCCGCCGTCCGGGTCGTGCGTCCGTCCGTCGCCGAAGGATGCTGTGGTGCCTTCCCGGTCTTGGCAGTTTTGAGTGAAGTCCCTCCTTCTCGTCCTTGCTAATTTTCACATTGCATCGGTTGGTTGGTGAATTATCGCCTGGGGCTCTTGCACGGTCACGTTAGATTCTCCAGCTCTACAGGCGGGGGCCTTGCGTGGCCCCGGGCCGGGCAGGACACCGAGCTCGTCCGGGAGCCGGGACACGGGGCTGCGCAGCTCACGCCGGGCACGCCTGCGGGCGCGGAGCCCGGAGGCCGGGCCGGTCGCACGTGTCGGCCCGAGCTCCCTCTGACCCGAGAGTGCATCCGGGGCGCCCCGGTCCCCGGAGGTCAGGGATGGGTCGGCGCTGCGTCGCCCCGTCACTTAGACCCCTTGATATGTGCCTGTCGGCCGGGTGGGTCCATCGGGTCAGGGGAGGGGCGGGGGCTGGGGGTTCCCAGGGTGCTTAGCAGGTGCAGACAGACAGTCAGTGAGCATTTGTGGGAAGAAAGGGAAGAAAACGTGAAACACCACGCGCCCCGGGCTGGGCAGGCGTGTGCTCCGCGCCCACCTTCCTGTCCGCGGCCCCGCCCCTCGGGCAGCGCCGGCCGGGCCCTCCGCGGGCTCAGGAAGCAGCGGCCTCCGTCAGCTGGGAGGCGGGCGTGGCCCAGCTTCCCGCCAGGGCTCCTGTTTGCTCCCTCACTGTGGCCGGCCCGCGGCTGCCAACACCGTTGCCGTGGCAACTCGGAGGCACTCGGCCAGGCCTCTGGGGCTGGCTGGAGCCTCCCCGCAGTCCCACGCCTCCGGCTGGGTGCGGGTCCGCCGGCGCCCCGACGTGTGGCGGGCGGAATCTCCCCGCGCCCAGGAGAAAGGGGCGTCGCTGGAGGCGTCTCTGTTCCCAAGGGCGTCCTTGGGCGCAGGGAGGGCGGGGCGAGAAGCCCGGGAGCCCCCGCGTGGGCAGGCCAGCCCGGCAGCAGACGCCGGGCGTGGGTCCTGGCCTGGGATCTGTCGCCGCCCCCCCTCCCCCTCCCCGCCAGGGCGGCCTCAGGGCCTCGGGAGCACTGGACACGGGGCGAGGGGCCGGGACCTGCGGCGCGTCCGCGCGAGAACCTGTGTCTTTAAAGGAGTGTCTCGCCGTCCTCGGGGATGTGCCCAGCAGGGACAGTTGTTTGTGTGGAGGGTGTTCTGACTGTGTCGCGTCCGTCGACGGGAGCCCCTAGCGAGTTAGGAGCAGGCAACGGCTTTGGCTCCTTCGCAGCAGGGCCCAGGGGGGCGGGACGGGGGACTTTCGGGGGAGCCGCCTGGGCTCGCCAGCGTGTCCTCTGGCACGCGTGCCGCGGCGTGGAGGCCGTTCTGTCGGCCTTCCTGGAGCCGCCCCCGGGCAGCCTGCGGGGCAGGCGGGGTCCTCAGGGGCGGCGTTTGTCACCCCCGGGGGCCTGCAGAGTCCCCGGCCCCCAGGTGGCTCCCCCGGCAGCTGTTCAGTAAACAGGTTCCGGCTCAGGCCCGGCCTGGAGCGTGTCTGGGCGTTACTTCATTTCGTTCCCCCTGCTTGCAAAACCGCGACCGGCCCCTCGAGCGCCGGCCCTGCCGCCCTGTGGGCCAGGGCCGGCCGGGCTGCAGGGAGCACGGGCCTGGCGGTGACCCATTCCAGGGCGCTGTCTGGCCTCGCGTCCTGCGCTCAGCCCCAGCCCTGGCCACGGGGCGGCCCTCCAAATGAAAAATCAAAGTCGGGGCGTCCCTTGGGCCCTGCGGCGCGGGCGCTCCGCCCGGGGCGCAGAGGTGGGCCCGCGCGCAGGGACCTGAGCCCCCCGGGCGGCAGCGGCGGAGGCAGCCCGACCCAGGCCGGGCCCCCGGGCGCCCAGCGCATGCAGGCGCGGTGCCCGGGACAGGAGCCCCGTGGGCACGTTTCTCGGGGGGTGGTTCAGAAATAATGAAATTGTACGGCCCTGAAATAAGCTGTGCTCAGAATGAGACGAAGCAACGCGGACAGCCCGGGCGTGGTGCGTTCGCCGCGCGTGGGTTTGCAGCCGGCCCTGGCCCGGCCGAGGAGCCGGGCACGACGTCCCCGCTGGGGGCGGGGCGGGCCGCGCGCGCCGTTCCCTGCCTTTGTGGCCGCCGGCCGTCCTGGACAAGCTCTCCGGACGCTGCCCGAGCTCCTGCGGCCGCTTCGGGCCCACCTGCACCGTAATCCACTGAAGCCTCCTTGGCAGCTGGCCAGGGGGCAAGAGGCAGCCGCCGCAGCACATGACTTCTCATGGGTGTTGTCTTCATGGCCCTGGCGTGACAGGGATCGGCCCGCACGTCTCGGGACTGTTAAGAAAGTTACTGAAAATCCCGCCTCGTTCCCTGTAAACGGCGTCCCTCTGAGTAGTTACATAATTCCGATTTGAACAGGGGCCGGCGGGGGCCGAGGCCCAGGCCGCGGGGCGGGGAGGGTGCGGCCCCCGCGGCGGCTGCCCTGAGGCCCGTCTGTTCGCGGGGGGACCTTCGTCATCGCCCCGCTGGGCCTTCCGCGGGGAGCCTCACGCTGTCAAGGGCTCGATTTCGAAACGTGTCTAATTAAGGAGAATCGCATGTAGGTGATGAGTTCTTGTTTTCAGAGGAGGCCTTCCGCTGTTTCCCTTCCTCCCTGACAAACGCTGGTTGAAATAAAGCCCCTGCTTGGAACGTTCTGGGTGCCTGTGGACGCCACGCAGACGTGGCGGACCCCTCGCTCTGCCGCCCCTCCCCCACCGGCCGGTCGCCCCCCCCGCCCCCCCCCCGCCGCCCCGACCCTCCCAGGGGCTGAGGCCTGTGGGTGCCGGTGGGGCGGCCCCCGGGCCCGCTCTGTGACTGGCTGGAATGCTTTTTTTCGAATTCTCGCAGTTGCCTTCTGGCCCACACACGGTGGCTCGGCCGTGGGACTGGCTGTTGGCACACGCCATGCCCTTCGGGCTGGGCGGGAAGCGGAGGGTCTGCCCTCTCCAAGGCCCCGGCCACCCCGGGGGCAGGGGCGGGCAGCAGGGCCCCCGCCGGGGTGCCCAGGGCGCCCCGCGGGCAGGACCGGCAGTGCTGGGGCCGGCCTCGCGTTCGCCCCCCGCGCTTCCTGTTTCCACCAGCGCACGCTGCGGCCTGCGGCGGCGCTGGGACGGGATTTCTCTTCGCCACGAAACTTTGTTTTCTGTAAACTGTCAGGTCGCCTGTGGCTTCGCAGGGACCTAGGCTCCAGGCAAACCGAGGGGCCCGCGTGGGGATCCGCGTGAGGCCTGCTCCCATGGGGGGCACGCTCATTCTTGTCTCAGGGATGGTGCCACCTCGAACAGAGACCGAGCGTCAAGAAGCTGCAGTCGAGCCCGGCCGGGGCTGGGCATTGTGGTCGCCGCCCTGGTGCCTGCGGCCGGGGGCCCCGGGGACTGCGGGGGGCGGAGACCACAGCGGCGGCCCAGCCCTGTCCCAGTGGGCCCCGGAAGGCGCGTGGCGGGCGCGGGGACAGGCCGCGGGCCCCTGTGGCAGGCAGCGCAGGGCTGGCCGCGGCGTGCGGGCTGCGGAGGGGCCGGGAGGGAGCCCGGGGGCCTCTGGAGAGCCGGCAGCTGCCGGGGAAACGTGCGTGCAGGCGGCTGGCGCGTTGGGGCCGGGGGTAAAGGAGGCAGCAGCTGGGCCCGCGCTTCCTGTGGGAACAAGTCGAACGTAATAAGGCTATTTGTTGAAGTCCAATTACTGAAATTCTTGCCCTGAAGGTCCACAGTGCGGTTCCACACTTGCCTTATCAATGCCCTACCTACCGATCGTTTACCGGTAACGGCCGTGATCACGCAGTGACAGGGTGGGGCGGCGCACGTTGCCCACGGTCGGACTGGCTGACGTCCGGCCTGCGGTCACGAGCCCTGGCCTCGGGACACCGGCCTCCTCGCTGAGCCGCAGAGCTGGGTGGCCGGGCGCAGGCCGGGGGCCGTGCAGGCGTGTCCCCGCAGCGCCCACGAGGCGCACGCTGACGTGCACGTGGCTGTGAGGAAGCCGCGTCTGCCGCGGCCGATCCTGAGCCTCGCTGTGGAGGAGATGCCGCCCCCCGCCCCCCGGCCTGGGCGGAGGGCAGGCGCGCCCCCCGCAGCGTCTGCCTCGCCCGGCGCCTCTCACTCGGGAGCCGCCGTCCTGCCCACAGGCCCCGCAGGGTCACCGTGTCCTAGCCAGGTCCGCCCGCGGTGTCGGCCGCGGCCTGCGGTGGGGAGGGCCGCCCCGGGTCCCGGCCTCGCGCCCAGGACCTCAGCAGCCGCCGCCCCCGTGCCGCCTCCCCTGGGGGCGCTTGGTCCCCACCAGGAAGTGTCCTCCGGGGTTATTAACCTCTCATTTGATTTTTACAAATATCATAATCACACGTTAACAGCCAACTTCAGCCTCTGTGTTAAACGCGTCGGTGGGCGCAGACGGGTGTTCGCGCCTCTCAGTCAGCGGGGGTCGCTGATGCGGGCACGGCCGTCGCAGGGCAGGCGGCAGAGCCCAGGGGGGCTCTGAGTCCGGCCCCGCCGTCCCGCTGGTTCCTGGGCGACGGACACACAGGCGGCCGAGGGCTGCAGGAGCCCCGCAGGCACATGGCCGCCCCGGAGTCTGACTCCCTCAGCCGCAGCTTTGTTTTCGCTCCCTCGTCACGGCTCCGTGTCCCCCGGGGCCTTCTGGAACCCGGCACCGCCCGGAGCATCTGGCGCCTGCTGTGCTCTCCCCGGAAGGCGGGGCCCGCCCGCCGCCTCGGGAGCAGGCGGCCGCGTCCCCCTCGGGGTCGGCGCCGTCAGAGCGAGCGCTGCCCGGTGCCAGGATGACAGGCCGGGGCCGTGAGGGCGGCTCGCGCGGCTCCTGGAGACGGTGCTGCCTGTGGGGGCCGCACGCCCGTCCCTGCGACGGAGGCCGCGGCGCAGACCGGGGCCGGTTGCCACGCGCGGGTCTCCGTCCCTCAGCGGCCTGGAGGGCGGCCCTGGCCGTGGGGGGCACAGCCAGCCTTTCACACTGGAGACTGGAGTCTGGCCTTTCTGACGAAAGTGGCTAAGGACCCGGGGAGTGGTTTTTTTTTTTTTAAGAAAAGATCTCTTTTCTTGTGTCGTTTCTTTTGCTGCCTGTTGTAACGAGCCCCTCACCACCCACCCATCCACCTATTGATTCCTCCACCCACCAGCCCGCCCGCCCGTTGAACAAACGGAGGGCCTCGCGGCGCCGGCTCCGCCGAGGGCCAGCCGCCGCAGACAGGCCGGCGGAGGCAGTGGGAGCTGAGCCTCCGCGGGTCAGAGCCGAGGCCCGAGAAGAGGCTGAGTTGGAGGAGAAACGCGGGGGAGGCCATGCCTTCAGGACTGCAACAGGGTGGGCGGGCGGGCGCTTCGGAGCAAAGAGGAGGAGGAGGCGGGGCGGCCGCGGGAGAGGACCGAGAGCCGCGGGCTGGCCGTCGCGCCGCGCGGGGGGCGGGGGGGGGGCGGGGGGCGCGGGCCGCGGGTTTGCCGACGGGCCCTCATGCCGTCGCCCCTCTCCGTTCTCCCCGCAGAGCACTACAGCTACGCGCCCGCCCACGTCGGGCCCGGCCTGCCGCTGCCGCCGGCGCACCCCTCGCTGCCGGCTCCCTGCCACGACCTGCAGACGTCGGCCCCGGGCCTCCCAGCCGCCGCCGCCGGCCACCCCTCGGGGTACGGAGCCGCCGTGGATGGCGGGCCCCCGGGCTACTTCCTGCCTTCCAGCCACGTCAGGCCCAACGGCGCCCCGGCCCTGGAGAGCCCGCGCATCGAGATCACCTCCTACCTGGGGCTGCACCACGGCAACAGCCAGTTCTTCCACGACGCGGACGTGGAGGACGTGCTGCCGGGCCCCAAGCGGCCGCCGCCCACGGCCACGCTGAGCCTGCCGCACCTGGAGGCCTACCGGGACCCCTCCTGCCTGAGCCCGGCCAGCAGCCTGTCCTCCCGCAGCTGCACCTCCGAGGCCTCGTCCTACGAGTCCAACTACTCCTACCCGTACGCGTCCCCGCAGACCTCGCCCTGGCAGTCGCCCTGCGTGTCCCCCAAGACCACGGACCCCGAGGAGGGCTTTCCCCGCGGCCTGGGGGCCTGCGGCCTGCTGGGCTCGCCCCGGCACTCGCCGTCCGCCTCGCCCCGCGCCAGCGTCACCGAGGAGAGCTGGCTGGGCGCCCGCGGCTCCCGGCCCTCCTCGCCCAGCAACAAGCGCAAGTACGGCCTCAACGGGCGGCAGCCGTCCGGCTCGCCGCTCCCCTCGCCCGCGCCGTCCCCGCAAGGCTCGCCGCGCGTCAGCGTCACGGACGACACCTGGCTGGGCAGCGCCACGCAGTACACCAGCTCCGCCATCGTCGCCGCCATCAACGCCCTGAGCACCGACGGCGGCCTGGACCTGGGCGACGGCGTCCCCGTGAAGGCCCGCAAGACGGCCCTGGACCACGCGCCCTCCGTGGCCCTCAAGGTGGAGCCGGCGGGCGAGGACCCGGGGCCCGCGCCGCCCGCCTCCGACTTCGCGCCCGAGGAGTTCCCGCCCTTCCAGCACATCCGCAAGGGCGCCTTCTGCGAACAGTACCTGTCGGTGCCGCAGCACCCCTACCCCTGGGCCCGGCCCCGGTCCCCCACCGCCTACGCCAGGTGAGCGGGCGGGGGTGGGCTGAGGCGGGGTCCGCGTGCCGGGGCCGCCGCCGCCTCTCCCGCGCTGGGGCTTCGCCGCCAGGTTTTTGTGTTGGGGTTTGTTTTTTTTAAAGATTTTATTTATTTTCTGAGAGAGGGGAGGGAGGGAGGAAGAGGGAGAGAAACGTCCACATGTGGCTGCCTCTCGCGCGCCCCCTGCTGGGGACCCGGCCCGCGACCCGGGCCTGGGCCCCGACTGGGCATCGAACCCGTGACCCTGTGGTTCGGAGGCCGGCGCCCGGCCCACGGAGCCGCGCCCGCCGGGGCTGCCACCGCCGGGTTTCGGTGTCTCTCCTGCTCCGCGGCGTCCCCCCAGCTCTGCCCTCTGGGTCACATGGCTCCCTCCCTGGTGTCCCTGTGTCCAGGGTCCCTTGTTGTAAGGACACAGGATGCTGCCCACGCGGAGGCCCCTCTTCGCCCACTCAGCTCTTTGAAGGCCCGCCTGCCACCGAGGCCACTCGCTGAGGCGGGGCCTCTAGTCCGTGTCACACACGTGAGATGAGGCGCGAGGCCGAGTTCACAGGCACGTGCCCGCAGCGCCCGTTCTGGGCGTCGTGCCTGGCAGAGCCGGGGGTCCCTGTCCTGTGTGTCCGCCGCCCACCTGCCTCCGCTCAGCGGCTCCCTGGGGCCGCGCCGCTCCCGGCGGCGCGGAGAACAGCACGGCCGCCTCCTCCCCAGGGGCAACGCCGTCCCCGCCGTCTGGCGACAGGGAGCTGAGCGTGCTCCCAGCGCCGCGTCTTGGGCTGTTGGTTTTTCTTCTCGACGCTGTGTGAGGCCCTGGGGGCTCCGCCGGGTCCGCTTCCTCAGCCCGGCGTCTTTATTTTTAACTGCACAGCCCTCCCGACGGGCGGGCCCCTGAGGACCCCCGCAGCGAGCGCCCCGCTGCAGGCTCGTGCCGGGCGGGGCGGCGTCCACGCGTGCCTCCCTGCGCGGCGCCGGTGGACAGGGGCCGTGGCCGCCTCCGGGGGGAGCCGTGTGGCCTGCGTGTGGTTTGGGAGGCGCGAGCCCCGCGGGGGTGGCTGCGGACGGGAGGGCTGGTCCCTGCGGGACCCTCTGCTCTGCTCAGGCCCCGCCTCCCGCAGCTGGAGCCTCGGGCGGGGCCGCAGCCGAGCTCAGGCCCTGGGGGCCCAGCTGCCGCTCTGCGTGGTACCCTTTTCTTTCTTTCTTCTTCAAAAAGATTGTATTTAGTTAGAAAGAGGGGGAGGGAGGGAGAGAGAGAAACATCAGTCTGTTGCCTCTCACTCACGCTCCAACCGGGGACCAAACCCGCAGCCCAGGCCGGTGCCCCAACCGGGAACCGAACCTGCGAGCTGGCGCTTCGCGGGACGCCGCCCCACACGCCGAGCCGCCCCGGCCCGGGCTCTGCGCCCTCTCGGGCAGAGAGTCTCGGCCGTTTCTAAGGCCAGCGGCTGGGGGTGGTGAGGACTCGGCTCAGGCTCAGAGCGAGAGCAAAGCCGACCTCCGACCGTTCCCGACGGCCGTGTGGGCACAGTCCCCGCGGTGGTCCCAGCGTCTGCCCTCCATGCGGTGCAGTTTAAAAAGCTGGGATTTTCCAGGGTGTCACCCCGTGTATCTCAGAACCCGGGGGTCAGCTGTACACGTGGGAACGTAAAAAGCCGTTCGGAAGCACTTTCAGGAACTCAAGAGCCGCTGCCTTGGTAACTTCACCGACTATGCGGCTTCCCCGCCTGCGGCCCAGGGCCACGCACGTGCCGCCGCGCGACCCGCTCCCCTCGAGGCCCGGGGCGGTCGGCGGGGCCGGGCCTGCGCTGAACCCCGGACCGGAAAGCGGGGGCCCGCGGTCGCCACGAGACGCCCGCAGCCCCTCCGTGGCCACCTGCCCGCCCTTTATCTCGCGGTCGCAGGGCCCGAGCCGGTGACACGCCTGGCATTCCTGTGGGCGAGCGCACACACAGCCTGGGAGGCGGCCGCTGCCCCGCTTGCTCCGGGCTGACCTTTCCCACCGGGCCGGCTGCGCGGCCCATGTGTTTCCTGCCCACGTGTTTCCACAGGGTCCCGTCCGCGGGGGCCTGGGGGCCGCGGGGCAGCCGCGGGGCGGGGCGGTTCTGCCCGGGGAGGGCGAGCAGGCTTCCTTCCCGGGAGGAGGGCCAGCGCGCGGACGTCAGCAGGACCCCCCACGCCGCCGCCGCCGCTCTGACTGCGCGACGTGAGGTCTGAGCAGCGAGCCAGCCCGAGCCCCTCCCCCCGCCGGGCCTCGGGGCCTCTGTGCCCTTCCGTCCCCCAGAAAAAGGAGCTTTAGTGACGAGGGTGCCTGAGGCATGTGCCGTGGCTTCCCTGCTGGGGTCTTTCCTCGGCCTGGCGTTTACGGCCCCTCCCCCGGCCCAAGGGGTCCAGATGCTGCTGACTTCTCGCCCGTCAAAGAGCCTGTTGGTGGAGCGGACAGTGTGTGAGGGAATTTCATGGGTCTGGAGGTCAGACTGCGTTCGGGGTGTAACGGAGCGACGCTTCTGTTCTCCTCGATGAGGCGGGCACAGACGCCGCGGCGACGCGCGAACCCCTCCACGGAAAGAGCGGCATCCTGGTGTCCAGGCGACGGGGCGATGGGGCCGGCAGCGTCCAGGCCCAGCCCGACCCAGGGCGCGGCCGCACGTGGGCGCGGGGGGCCGCCCGGGGCCAGGGCGGCGGGCGCGTTGGGCGCCCACCTGCGATTGTTTCTGGGCGGTAGTTTGCAGGTGGCGTCTGCGGCAGGTTCCGTGTTAGCCTGAGGGAACGGGCGTTTGCACGGCTGTCAGCGCGTCGGGTCGAACAGCTGGGCCGAGCGCCTGTCACAGGGGCCGCCTGTGAGCGGGGACCTTCCTTTCCCCGTAGAGCGGGGTCGCGGGGAGTCCCCGCTCTGGGGGCGTCAGCGTCTGTAGAGGAGTAGACGTGCACTGGCTTGGAAAGACCCGGAGCGCAACGTGAGCCCGTGACGCCGGCGGGGCCGCCTGGTCCGACTCCTGTGAGCCCGGCCTGGCCCCCCGACTTGCGCACGGAGAACTGGGCTTCCGGGGCGGGGCCGCTCACCCCGCGGAGCGGAGGGGGTCGGTGGCCGGGGCTGCTGGCCCAAATCTGTGAGTTTCAGACGTTGCTGCTTTTAGGTTTGCGGCTTTGCCGTTGGTGATTTTAGGAATAGTTGTCGCTTTTGGGCTGCGCAGCAGTGTTAGCTTCCAGCATCCGACAGACCTGCTGACCTTGGTGGCGTTTGGAAGTTATCTGAACGCTTCAGGTTGATCCTGCTTTGGACTGAGATTAAAGAAACCTGCAGGCGGGTCGCCCACCCAGCCGGCAGGTCACTCGCGAAGGTCTCCGCTGTGCCCCTGGAGCCAGGCCCGGGCCATGTGCACCCACCCGGGGCCCGGGGCCGCCCTCCTGGGTCATTTGTCTCCTCTCGACCCAGCGGCAGGCGCCAGCCACCTGCCCGTCACAGGGGGAGGCTCGCCGAGCTGGAAGGGGGGAGGGGGGCCGGCTGGAGTTGGCCGTCCCGGCGGTGACCGGCCAGCCCCGAGTCAGGGCCCAGGGCCGCCTCTCACGGGGCCCCGGCAACCAGCACCCCCAACGGGGCAGCTGCCTCCCAGGAGCACCTCCGGGGGCAGGCGGGACGCCGCACGGCGCCCCCATGAGGCCCAGAGACGAAGCTCAGCCGCGGCCCGACCCAGAGGCTGAACTCGGGGTCTGACGGGCAGGGGGCGGGGCTGCGTGCGGGCGCCCGGGTCGCGGGGCGGTGTCCCCCTGCGCGGGGGCCGGGCACCCGCAGAACCGAGCCCGCTCTGCAGCCTTTGGGGGGCTCGCGGGCTGCCGCCTGGGCAGCCCCGCGCCCCCCGTCCCACCCCTTTGCTTCTGTGGTTTCTTCTGGCTCCGCCGAGTCGCTGCTGACTCTCAGGAGGCACCTGCCAGCCTGACCCAGGACGCGAGGGTCCAGCCCGACGCCGGGCGGGGGAGGGGGGGCGCCGGGGGGAGGGGCGGCGGCAGCGCTCTGCCGCCCAGGCCCGGGCCGGCCGGGGGCCCCTTCCCCTCGGTGAGGGGCTCCGTGAGAGCCCGTTGTTGGAAGAAGAGAAGCCCCTGTACTTCCGCGCCCTGGACGGGACAAAAGCCCGAACCTCGGCGGCGCGGCGCTCAGACTGTGAAGTGGCGCCGTGCGGAGGGCGCGGCGGCCTCACGTCCCCGACTGACCCAAATGCCAGGCTGGGTGCAGGCGGGACACAGGGCGGCACCGGGCCGGCTCTCGCCCACGGAGGCATGCGGGGCGGCAGAGGCGCGCAGGCCCCGCCCCGGCCGGGGCACCTTGGCGTGTCCGGTGCTGACATTGCCCGAGCCGCCCGGAGGGCCTGCGTCAGGCCTCAGAGCGGCGGCCCGTGCGCTGACCTCTCCCTTGGAGCCGGGCAGGCGGGCGGCCCTGCCTGGGAGACTGGAGTTGAACCGGGAGGCGGCGGCCTCCGCGTGAGGACCGGACCTTCTGTGTGATCCGGGGGTGCGCTTGCCGGTGTTCCTGGGCGTCGTGGGGCGGTTTGCCGTTTCAGCGACCCGTCCGAAGTGCTCTCTGAGCGCTGGGCTGATGCGGATTCGCAGGTTTTCAGTAGGGACAGCGACGAGACCCCCTTCAGACCCAGGCTGCTCTGTGCTCTGATGCCACCCCTGCGCGGGGGGGGGGGGGGTGGACCCGCGGCACCGGCGAGGCCGCCGCGCCGAGGACGGGCAGGCCGGCCTGCAGACGCCGGCCCCGCCACGTAGCCTAGAAACCCGCGGGCATGGACGCCTCAGGTCCTCCCTCGAGCCCCGGCCGCCGGCAGACGTGACCGCTCTTCCCAGAGGCCGATGACTCACCCCGGGCGCTGGTGACCCGCGGTGCCGTCTTGCCCCGGGAGGCCATGTGGACATGCCTGACTCCCCCCGAGAAGGCAGGCAGCCCGCGCCAACCCCCGCTTTTCCTGGGCAGTGACCGGCCGTCGGCAGCAGGCTCTGGCGGCATCTGAGGGGCCTCGGGTGCTCGGGGCTCTGCCGCCGCCGCGGGAGGGTCGGGGTTGAAACACGGGGACCACACAGCGCTGTTTCCCATGGGGTCTCACCCGTGGCCGCCCCCCCAATGCGCACGGGTGGGGCAGGCCCCCTCTGCCTTCGCGGGCCCGGCTCCCCAAGTGTAAGGGCCGAGAGAAGGCAGCGTCCTCCGGCGCCTGACAGTGTGGTCTGGGGACAGAGGGGCGAGGAGGGGAGGACCCCCTGAGTCAGCGGGCTCCAGCCTCTGGCGGGAGGAGCCCCAGCAGGCGAGCCGTCAGTTCCCCCAGATTCTGTCCCTGGGCCCCCCCGTACTGTCAGGAACGTCTGAGGTTATCGGATGCTCCTTCTTTCGGTGGGAAGCGCCCGGCCTGAGCGTGTCCGAGGGGGCGGCTGAGCTGGGTGGTCCCGGGCGCAGCTCTGCCCACGGGCGGCTTTGGGGGGCCCAGAGTCCCAGCCTCAGGCACCGGGAACTGTACTGATGGCCTTTTTTTAAATTAGAAAAACAAAGCAAAGCGCTACGTGTTCTCCACCACAGAAGGAGCTTCCTGCCCACAGGGTGCCCCTGAGGCTTCTGAGTTTTGCTCCGCGGGTGGGGCGGCTCATGTGAAAACGGGTTTTGGGTGATGTGAAAACGGGGTCTTTCCAGGCACGGGGGGCCCCAGAAGGGCCTGGGGCCCGAGGTGTGGCCTGTCACAAAGCGGGGCCTCTGGGTCCGACCGCACGTCCGCCGGCTACAGGAGGGCCGGCTCCCGGAGAGCGCGCCGCTGGCGGTTATGCGAGGGATGGGCTCCCCTGCAGAATGTTTACAAACACACACAGAAAGCAGCCCGCAGGTCTTCCCCGCCCCCGCCCCTGCCCCCCGCCCCCGGTGTGGGGCCGCCCCCTCTGTACGGCACCGGACACGGCTGTGCCGGTCGGCTGCAGGGCCCCCAGCTCAGGTCGGCGGGCCTTGCGGCCCAGCCCCGACTCCGGTCAGCGCGCTTTTAGAATCGCGGGCCTCCCTGCGTCCCCTGTGTCTTCTCGGATCGGTGCCGTCGGGGAGCCACTGGGACCGCGGCGCCGTGTTTCGGCCACGTGGTGCGCGTCCCCGGGAGGCGGCCGCCTGTGTTTGTCTCCAGGGTCACGGACCAAATGGCCTAAAGGTGGTTTTCAGCTTTAAGCCAAGGCGCTTTGTTTGAAGTCTGGCCTGTGCCCCTCGACCCGCCCTGGTCCTGGGATGTCAGGGGGCGGGGTCACGGCCGGCCCAGGGCCCCAGAGGAGGTGGGGGGGCTCTGAGCCCGGGCATTGCGGTCAGCAGGGACGCACCTGCGGGGCAGCTGGGCTTGGAATTCTCCGGGGACTCCTGCACGTCTCAGAGTTTTCCCTGTGGGGACAGTGTGTTGGGGCGTGGGGGTCCCCTGTGCGGATGGAGGTGCCGGGAGTCTCGGGGGACAGAGCTGAGGGTGCACCTGCGGGGACCGTGGCGGTCGGCGTGCGGCCCGCACAGAGCAGGGTGTCCCGTGAACCGGCAGGGGCTCCGCGCACAGCCTGCCCGCGGCGGGGGCTGCCGAGTGACTCCGGCAGCTCGTGACGCCTTTGGGCTGTAGGAGAGCGGCCTCTTCCGGGGCCAGACGCGTGCCCGCGGGGGGGCGGCTGGGGCCCTGGGCCCCCGGCTCCAGGGCGGCGGGGCAGCCGGGCCGGGGAGCGTGGCCGCGGGAGAGAGACTCAGTCGGAGGAAAACCCTGTGTTGTTCTGAGTGTGGATCGCGGTGCGTAGGTGTCTTGCTGCTGTGAACAGTGTTAAAAAAAGTCCTTCACACTTTCTTTCTGTGAAGAAAACACAGAAGCTCAATGAAAAATGGGAGGGCGGTTCTCGTGGGAACCACGGGTCCAGCAGCCCCGAGAGCAGGGTGATTCACACAGGGCGCCCCGCGCCTTTTTCCAGCCCGGGCCTCGCCCACACGCAGCGGGGACGCTGGCAGCGTGCGACTCGCTTGCCTTGTGTGGTCGCACACGGCAACCCCGGCGAGGAGGGCGGGGTCGGCCGAGTCCCTGGCAAGCGGGGCGGCCGGAGCCAGGCTGCCGCTGACCAGAGCGGGGGGGGGGCCGGCGGCGGCGGGGGGCGCGCGGGCCAGCGTCCGTGTCCCGGCCGCTCCGCGAGGCGACACGGCATTAGTGGGACACGCGGGCTCTGACTGTCACGTACCAGGCCCAGCAACAAGGGGTTAGAATTTTTGTTTTGCGAGAATCCCAGACTCACCCCGGCCGGGGTGACTCAGCGGGCGGGGCGTCGTCCTGCAGACCGAAAGGTCACCGGTTCAATTCCCGGTCAGGGCACAGGCCTGGGTTGTGGGTTTGGCCCCCGGTTGGGCTGCATATGGGAGGCAACCAACCGATGGATGTTTCTCTCTCTTACTCCCTCTCCCCCCCCCCCCAAAATCATAACCGTGTCCTCAGGTGAGGATTTAAAAAAACCAAAAAGAATTCCAGATTCACAGCAAGTGGCAGAGGAATCTTCCGCCAGCCCCAGACCCACAGCTGCTGCTGGTGGGCGCTGCCCCCCGTGCCTGGGAGTCCCCTGCAGTTTTGTGAATTTCTGAAGTCCTCACGGGACACGCATAAGACCGCGTCCCCCGTTCATGACAGGGTTGGGCTTTACGTCATGGACGGCCGTCCTGGGCCCCAGGAGCCGTGGTCGCCGATTGCCCGGTGGACTGCCAAGCCCGGCGACGGTCTCTCCCAAGTGGCCTTTGTGGACCCCACAGGGCGGCTGTTTGCGGGGGGCGGGGCGGGGCCTCCACGCAGGACAAGAGACCGGGACACGTGGAATCTGAGGTTCTCAGGGGTGTTCCTGCCGGCGCTGCGGACGTATTTGCTCACATTTATTGTTCACACGTGACGATGTGCGCCCTTCACGTCTCGGAGTCACGCGCCGCCGCCGCCGCCTGGAGGCCGCCTCGGGGGGACGCGCTGGTCTGGGGGCAGCCCCCGGGCCCGGCGGTGCGTCTGCCCGTCGCGGGGCGGCGAGCACCCGGGGGAGCCTGGCTGTGCGTCCCCGGGCCTTCGATGAGGCCGTGACTCTGTCCGAGGACGGGACCAGGAAGGCAGCCGGCTCTCGCCTGGACACCCGCGTCTCGGGCGTCGACCTCAGCAGCGAGGCCAGCGAGGGGCTCCCGGCGGATCGTCGGCGCGGCCGGTGCGAGGCTGGGGGCGGGCCACCCCCAACAAGGCGCCCCAGTGCTCAAAACGTGCTCTTTAAATTTTAAAAAAGCCCACGTACCAGGTTACCTGTTTTATTGTGTTGGGGTCTGACCCTTTTCATATACAGACGCTTACAGAGGTACAGCCAGTTGTGCAGATTGGAGACACGTGGGGGTGTGGGGTGTAAGGCGATGTCATAGCTCCAATTTGCACCCCAGGTGACTGTCCCGGACGGACCTGGCCACCTGCTGTCCTCGCTGTGGCGAGCGAGACCCTCGAGGACCCGAGTGCGGCTGCCGGGCAGCCCAGCGCCGCCCTCGCCCGCTCTGTGCAGCCAGCAAGGCCGGGGGCTCGGGCGGGGCCCCCCGGCAGCTCGGGGCGGGGCGGCGCGTGGGGGGACCCGTCACGCCCGGCGGGGACTCGGCCAGGCGGGGCTCTTCGCTCCGAGTCAGACACGCTCGCACTTTGTGTGGAGCTGCCAGAGTCCCGCTGAAAATTTCCGAGCAAAAGCGATGCTTTTAATCCTCTGTGTTACAATATTTATTTTGTGAACACTCTTAACTTTAAACTGTGCACACAGTGTGTTGCCAATTCTGTCAGCGATTCAAGAGCAGACTGTTTGCCCGGATTTATTCTGTAACGTTCGAGTGCAGCAGGGTCTAGAGGATACATCGCCCTTAACCGGCTGGGCCCCCCCGCCCCCGCCCGCTGCCCCCCGCCCCTCGCTGTCCCTGCGCTCTGTTTTCAGTTTTCTGGGAGTCGGACGGACCTTTTCCTTTCTTCTCCTCCGTGTAGTAAGAGGTGCCAGACCCGTTGCCCGGTTACGTTCGCACCACAAGCAGAGGCAGCACGTGGGTGCCCTGAGGGGGGCACTGTCCTCGGGTCCCGGGGGCACCGGCTGCCCGGGTCTGTCCGGGGACGGGGGGCAGGGAGCCCCTGCTGCGAACAGGCGCCGCTGACCCGGGACCTGGAGCCGCCGTGGCCTGGCCGGGCTGCCCCCCGCCGCCCGCACGCATCGCAGACCCCGGGGGCCAGCCGGCGGGGTCTGAGCCCAGCGTGTGTCCGTCCGGGCTGGAAAAGACCGTCGACGGGCTCTGGGGCCCGTGACACGTGGGAGGCTCGGTCCCTCAGGCCGGTGGTGAAGGAAGGAAACACTGAGAGGCCGTTGGTGGGAAACGTCCCCCTTTGACTGAGGAGGCCGCGAAGAGCAGCGGCGCTGTGGCCACGCGCGCTGACCGGACAAGCTCCTCACGTCCGGGGGGCCTCGGGGGCAGCGGGGGGGCCCAACCCCAGGCCGGCGAAGGGGGCGGGGCCGCGCTCGCGCGTCTGACGCTCCGCTGTCTCTTCCAGCCCGACGCTCCCCGCCCTCGACTGGCAGCTGCCGTCGCGCTCGGGACCCTACGAGCTGAGGATCGAGGTGCAGCCCAAGTCCCACCACAGAGCCCACTACGAGACGGAGGGCAGCCGGGGAGCCGTGAAGGCGTCGGCGGGGGGCCACCCCAGCGTGCAGGTACCGGCGCGCGCCCGGGCGCGTGGAGCCCGCAGGCGGCTGCGGGGCGTCTCCTCGGCGGGGGGCCGGCGGCCGGGGCCTGTCGTTTGGGAGGGGCGGGTCGCCGGGCGTTCTTCCTCCATGCGGACACGGTCCCCCGGGCCCTGTGTCCCCCGATCCGTCGTGCGTGACCCAGAAAAGACGGGAAGGAGGGTGACGAGAGCCGTGGGGACAGCCTGGCTGAGGGGCCGGGTCGCGGCCGCGGGGGTGGGGCGTGTCCTGCGCCTTAGAACAGAAAACTCAAAAGAAAATAAAGAGAACGGTGAGGTAAAAATTACTTACTCTGAGGACCTCTTTGGTAACAGACCTGCAGAAAGAGGTGCATCAGGCCCGGGAGAGAAGCGTGTGTGCCCGGTCGCACTGCCTCCCCCGGACGCCCCTGGAGACCCGCGGGGGTCAGCCCGCCCCGGGCGCCCGCCAACGCGCCGTCCCCAAGGCGGACGGCGTCCTCCGGGGGCGGGAGCCGCGGGGTGTCGGGGGGCCTGGTGCCATCCCTCCAGCCCACGTCCCGGGCAGAGCCCGGCAGAACGGGGTCTCCGGCCACCCCTGCCCCCGTTTGCCCTGCCAGCTCAGAAACCAGGGCGACTCGGAAGAGCCTCTGCCCCTCCGGCTTTCGCCCTTGAACGGTTTGCCCCGAGGCCGCCCGGCGTGCGGCGCGTGGCGCGTGGGCCAAGGTCCTGCCGGCGGCGTGGCCGGCAGGGGGGCAGCTCTGGGCACCGCGCCCACCCCTCAGTGCTGGGCGGGGGCGGGGGCGTGTCAGGGGCAGCGCTGGCCGACGCCGGCACCTCCCTCGGGGGCCGCCTGTCACCTGAGACGCTGTGAGCCCCCAGGCCCGGATGTAACTGTTTGACAGTCCCTGCGGTGACAAGAACGCCCCCCTCTTGGCGCCCCCACCTGCTCTCAGGAGCGACGCGGGGGGCCTTCCGTTTGTGTTCCGTGAGCAGAAGGCTGGGGCTGGGGGGCGGCTATCAGGAAGCCGCTGGGAGGGCGGGCGGCTGCCCACTCGGGACCGTAGGTGGCACTTGTGGCCGTGCCCTCGGTGACCGTGAATCCCGCCTTGGTCAGCCCCTCCGCTCAGCACCGCGGCCAGGGACATTTTCAGTGGCCGCCTCCCTGCGGAGCCAGGACCGGGGACGCTGGCGTCCAGCCCGGCCGGCGGCTGCGGGCGTGGACTCCCTTTGCGGCTGCGGTTTTCGTGGAGGGAGACTGCGTGGCTGCTGAGCGGGGAGACGTCGCAGCGGCGGAAGCGGAGGAGAGGGCGCGGGAATGGAGCCGCCGGCGATGGCGGGGGCGCAGGCAGCCACCCGGGCGCAGGCACGGGCCCCAGTGGCCATCTCCCCGCACGGCGGCCGAGGACCGTCCCCAGCGGAGGGTGCGCAGGCGGCGGGTCCACGCCAGCCCGCGCCTGCGGGGCCTGCGGGCGTTCGCCGTCAGGGCAGACGACACGGAACGCTGAAACCTTTTGGAGGAGATGGGAAGCTAGAAAGTGTTGGAAACATCTTAAAAACACGTCCTCAGCAGTTACTGCCCGTTAAAGGGCGGTGAACTGGAGACGCGGGTTCTGCGTTTAAACAGAGTGAACTGCACCCCCCTCCCCCCGACATCACCGCCCGAACTCCGCCCGCCAGGCCGCCCGCCCGCCGCTCTTGCGGGTCGGAAACCGGCCGCGGGGCGTGGCTGACCCTGTGGCTTCGTGGGTTTGGTCTGCGCAGGGGCAGGTGAGCAGCGGAGAAGAAGGGGTTTGGGGCTCGTTCTCTTTTTGGTTGGTGGAGAGCAGTCAGATGAGAGCAGCACTGACACGTTTTTACAGAACGAACGGAAACGGAGAGCGCAGGAGAGCGTGGAGGCCACGGCCCCGGCCCCCCCACTGCAGCCCCGCGGCCGCACGCTCACGTCCCTCAGAAACGGCCGGGCGGGGCCGCTGTTCTGCGCGGACCCGCCGTCCCCCGGCGCGTCCGCGGTGCTGACCGCCGTCCGCACCTCCAGGAGCGGGGCCGGGGCGCGAGCCCGCGGGTCCCCTGCTGAAGGAAGCGCCCGGGCGCAGGGACTCGGCCGTGTTCCGGGCCAGGACGTGGGAGAGCGGCCCCCTCTGCTCTGCGCCCCCGACAGAGGCGAACTGAGACGCCCGACCTTCGTCCTGGGGGATGGGGCCCCCGAGCCACGGGCCTCGGCCAGCGTTCGTCGGCAGGGAGCGCCCCGGACTCAGTCACCGCCGTCCTGGGGGGCCGTTCCGGGGTGCTCAGGGCCGCTCATGCCCGTCCCCCGCCCCCGACCGGGGCGCCTGGCAGGCCTCTGTGGTGCCGGGGCGGGGGGCGGGGGCAGCAGGCTGGGCCGGGGCGGCGGCGGCTCTTGGGGCGGGGCGGCTGCCAGCCGTGCTCCGGGCCAGGGAAGCAGAGGGCGGCCGTCGCGCCTGCCAGGGAGGCCGCTCCCCGGGGAGAGGCAGGGAGGCCGAGCTCCTCCGGCGCCTGACGAACGAACCAGAGAACCACGTCCCTAAGGAGCCCGGGGTCCCCTGCAGCCGCCGCCACCGCAGGCCGACAAGAGGGTGGAGGCTCCAGGAGGCTGATGGGGCCGCCGTCTCACGTCTGCCTTCTGCTCTGTGTCCCTGGTGCCCTGTCTCCGCCCCTCCCGGCCTCGGTCGCCCGAGTGCCGCTCCTGTGCACCCGTGGTGGGTGTGCGCCCAGACAGCCCGTCTGGGGCGCCCTGCGCCCCTGCTCTTGCGGAGGCAGAAGGAGCCACCTGGGGACGTCGCTGCTCTCTGACCCAGGGGTCAAAGGATTAAGCTCCGTTTACCAAGTCGAGTCACCGAAGTAACTTTCCCGATAGCATCTAGCCCGTCACACAGGAGGCCGGCGTGTGAATAATTCATGGGTCGCAGAAACACGAAACACGGCCTTGGCCCTGCCCATTCCTGAACAGCGCTGGGTCTGCGGCCTGCGCTCTGCTCTGCCCGCGGAGGGGCCTGGGAGGGCCCGGCGACCGTCTGCGGGGCCCCGGCCCAGGGCACCGTCCCGGCGGCAGGAAGGGTGGCTCAGGCTCCGCCTGGTTACCAGGGACCCTCTTTAATTAGGGTGCACGGTTTTTAGGCTTAACATGGCCCCCACGGAGCATGACAGATACTTTTCTGTCGTATGAGACACTGGAGAGCTGAAACCGCAGACTGACCACAGCAGGAAACAACTTGCTTTTTGTCAGAGGGTTCAAGTCGGCCTCCAGAGCCGGGCTGTTGGTTACCGTGTTCGGCTTTCGGAGGGCCCTCCCGGGCTCGGCGGGGCGGCTGGACATGCAGGCCCTGGAGGGGCTCGAGCGCTCGCCATCCACCGCACGTTTGCCTTACCCAGAGCCCGCTGTGCGTGCCATTTCATTTGTCTGCGCTCGGAACACAGTTATTAACCTGGACAGCCAGGGTTTCCACAAAAGCCAGAGAGAGAGATTATCATGAGAGTAAATTACGATTTGATGGCAGACCCTGGGCCCACCCAGGAGCCGGGCCGAGGAGGCGCGGGACCGCGCCCAGCGTTGAAAGGCAGCTCCGACCCTGCGCAGACCCGCACGGGGCGCGGATTAATTTTTCATGGGGCAGCCTCCGCCGCCCGGCATCTACTCTTTCACGGCACCCAGATGGGCCGGTTCGTGGCCGCGCCCGTGGGAGGGGCCCGCGCGGGTGCTGTCCGGGCCGCCGACGGGTGGGGTGCCCCCCCCCCGTCCCCCACCCCCGGGTCCGGCCGCGGCTCCCCCGCTGGGTGGAAGACCGCTCCGCGTGTGAGAGCCAGGCTCTGGCCGGAGGCCCCCTCCCCGCGCTGCAGTGACGTCACCGCCCCCGCCCGCCCCGGGCGACGCGTCCCGCAGCAAGCGCCTCTGGCTGTTGGGGAAAGATGCAAGTTTTGCCCCTGGGTTAGGCCTCCTTGCTCAGCTTGCGTGTGAACCAACCCGGAGCAGCCGGCTGGAAGCAGCTCGTCCTCCTCTGCGAACCGGTTCTGGGGTCACAGCGACTGCCTCCCCCTCTGTGTGTGGGCGTGTGCGCGGGTGTGTGCGCTCATGCATACGCGTGGGCATGGGTGGGTATGGGTGCGTGTGTGTGCGTGTCAGCGCGGGGGGTGCGCGTGGCCGTGTGCGCGCGCGTGCGCCGGGTTACCCAGGCCTCTGCAGCCGCGCCCGGGGAGCTGCTGAGCTCAGCACAGGGGCTAAAAACAAACATCCTGTGTGTGGAAAACTCCGTAGCTCCAGGACCTGGACACAGAATAATGTGCTTTGTTTAGCGGAGAGAGGTCGTCATCGTGACAGGTGACTTTATAAATATCGACTTGACAGAAACTGTGACGTGCCAGGGGCAGAAAACCGTGCAGTGCAGCCAGCGTGTGAGGGATTTAAGTGACTTTCCTTAAAATGAACTTCATAATTTAAATACTAGATGTCTACCTCCCAGGCCAAGCCTCACATATTCCCACTTTCCCTGAAATGACGTGTCTGTGAAAGGCTGCAGTTGCGCCCACAGTCCGGTGCATCCCGCACCCCGAAGGTCTCCGCAGCGGGGTCCTGGGGGGCGTTCAATGTCCAGCCGCAGCGCGGCCCACGCGCTGGGCTGTGGGGGCTGCCTCCTGAGCCAGGGAACCCGCCCAGGCCACACGAGACACGGTTTGGGGCAAAGACTCGTTCGTTGTATAGGTTCTTGCGTCACGTTTTACAAAGCAGAACACAGAACGGCAAAACTGGTCTCTTAATCCGTCCCGGATTTGATTCCAGTGTTTCCCGTTATAAAGTGCAGGTTGGGTCCCTGCGGGGAGTCAGGCTGCTCAGCAAGTTCACTGAACTGGCAGAGCCGGGAGTCCCGGCCCCGTCCCGGCTGCAGGCGGCGCCCGCTCCTGTCTGGGCCGGGACAGAGGCCCGCCGTCCTCCGGGGGCGGGGAGGGTCGCGGGTGTGCCCGGCCCTCGCACGTGGTCTCGCCCTAACGTGTCAGAGACCACAGGGTCCGGATGAGACGCGGCTATTTCAGTACGGAGGGACTGCTTTGAAGACGATCTCGCCCCGATGCTGGGACCGCGTCACAGCCAGACGCTGGCACGGGGTCGGGGGGGCGGGCGGGGGTCGCGCCACAACCGGGAGCGGAGTCTCCCCGCCAGTCACAGGGCCACAGCGGGGCCGGAAGCGTCTGTGAGTATGAGCTGTGTGTGTGCCCGTGAGCGTGTGCGCGTGCAGACTGTCCCTGGCGGTTCCCGCTGGGGACTTTGCGACACCCTCTGTGCACGCCGCCCTCCTGCGGCTCCGTCACCCTCGCCACGGACGGACGCTCAGAGGCTCCGGGGGCCCCCCAGCAGCAGGCGGCCAGTGCGGACCATCAGCGTTGGGGGGCGGGGGCTGCCACACGCCCACCCAGATCCACAGACACCAGGCCCCCGAGCCGTCCGCACGGCGTGCGAGGTGTCGCGGGGGGACCGTGTGGAAGGAACTGCGGCCCCCGCTGCAGGCCCCTAAGGGGCGGCCGAGCCAGGCGGGGAGGCCCTGCCCTGTTGGGAGCGTGTCTGGTCCTTGGCGCTGCCCCGCCTCACGGCCGCCGGCGGCACGGGCGGACACAGGGGCCGCCGGCTGGGGTGCACCCGGCGGGGGACGGGGTCGGGAACAGACCAGCCCGGCGGGAGGAGCCGGCTGCGAGGGGCCGGGCTTGCCCCGCAGAGAAGCCGGCGCGGCCTGAGCGCCGTCGTGGTCAGCGTCCTGCGTGCGGGTCCCGCGGCGGCTGTGGCGGCATGCGCGCACGCGTGTGTGTGCCGTGTGCAGGTGGGTGCGCGTGTGCATGCGTGTGCTGGAAGGCAGCACGCGGCGCCCTGCGGCGCGGGGCAGGGAGGTCTTCGCAGGCCCAGCGGCGCTGTCCCCGAGGGGCGGGGCCGGGGGGGGGCGGCCACCTGAGCAGCGGTCCCGCCGCGCTGTCCTCGTGAACGCGCCGCCGCCCATGGGCGTCCGATCGACCGGCGCGGCCGGACGCGGACGCTGAGCCGGTCCCCTCTCTCGCCAGCTCCACGGCTACCTGGAGAGCGAGCCGCTCACGCTGCAGCTGTTCATCGGGACGGCGGACGACCGCCTGCTGCGGCCACACGCCTTCTACCAGGTGCACCGCATCACGGGCAAGACGGTGTCCACCACCAGCCACGAGGCCGTGCTGTCCAACACCAAGGTCCTGGAGATCCCGCTGCTGCCGGAGAACAGCATGCGCGCCATGTAAGCCGCCCCGCGCGGGCCGTCCCTTCGGCCCTCCGTTCTGCAGCGTGAGGCCCCGCCCCCCGCCCCGTGCCCGCCTTCCGCTCCCCGCCCGTCACCGACTTAGAGGGGCAGGGCGGCCGTGCAGACCGGAGGGGCGGCGCGGGCGCTGACCCGGGTCGCCGTCTCTCTGAGCCTCGGGTGCAGCCAGCGCCGGCGCCCCCGCTGGGAGGTGCATGCGTTGTAAACGGAGGCGGACGCTGTGCTCGTCCGAACGCGGCCCGGACGCGTGGCCTCACCGGGCCCTCGAGTGAGTGCCTGTCACGCGCTGTGTGTGCCACGCCCACACGGTGGGCACACAGGGGAAGACAACACGGTCACCCCCCGGGACCTGCGTCCCGTGGGAGCCCAGGGCCATGTGCCAGGGCGCCCGGTGGCCACTGGAGGTCAGGGCCGCGTCCCCGGGGCGGAGAGCAGGTGGAGACAGGGCGCGGGAAGGTTGGGGCGGCCGGGCCACGCCGTGTAGGGTCTGAGTGGGGTCTGGTTAAGTTCTGTAACCTCAAACCCTGCGCGTGGAAAACAGAGGGAAAGCGTTCTCTCCACGCCGGCCCCTCCCGATGGGGGGTTCTCGGGCCTCTGAGCTCCCGCTCAGCCCTTGGCTTTGCTTCAAGCTGCAGTCAGCCCCGCAGGGACCATCCCCGCCAGGTGTCGGGGCCCGGGTCCCCCTCGCGGCAGCCGCCCGTCGGCGGGACCTGCGCTGGCTGGGAGTGCGCCAGCCGCCCAGGGGCAGGGCCCCGCGTCTGACCGCCGGGCCGGGCGCTGCCTCCTCAGGCTTCCTGAGAGGAAAAGTATCGGTTTCCACCCACAAGCCGTCCGCAGCCCGTGCGGCAGGAGTCTCGAGTTCAGCGGTCAAACAAAAGCACGTGAAGCTGTAGAAAACGCAGGGTCTCGGGCTGAGCAGTGGGCGGCTGCCAGGACCTTAAACAAACGCGCTTCGGGGGCTCCGCAGGCGCCGGGCCCGGAGACACGCGCAGCCCTCGGCTCTGGGTCCCTGCGGCCGTGTGGCGGGCGGGGGTGGGCACCGTGGCGGCGGGACGGGCTGCCAGCGCGGCGCCCCCCTTGCCGGGCCGCTCAGGGTGCCGCTGCCCCGGACGGGTGGGGGGCGGCGCCGCGCCCGCGGAGGAGGGGCCCGGCAGGCAAGCGCCCTCTCGCTTCGCCCGGCAGCATCGACTGTGCCGGGATCCTGAAGCTCCGGAACTCGGACATCGAGCTGCGCAAGGGGGAGACGGACATCGGCAGGAAGAACACGCGCGTGCGGCTGGTGTTCCGCGTCCACATCCCGCAGCCCAGCGGCCGCACGCTGTCGCTGCAGGTGGCCTCCAACCCCATCGAGTGCTGTGAGTACCGCCGGCCGCGCGGGCGGCGCCGTCAGCCCGGCCGGGAGCCCGCGTCCCGTCAGACACGCGCGCGTGCTGGCGGCCCCCTGCGGCGGCGGCAGAGCCGGCTGGGGGCCCTGGGCCGGGGTCCCGGCACTGACGGGAGGCGGGGGTTGGGGGGAGGGTAGAAGTGAAGGACGCTTGTCCCTGAGGCACAGGGGTGTGTGGGGGCCGCATTTGCGTTGTCCCCTCCCAGCTCGGGCGCGTTGGAGCCCCCGACGCTCCCTGAAGTCCGGGTCCCGCGTGGTGTGGGTCCCTTCTCTTGGGCAATGACTGTGCTAGCAAACGGGGTGCCCCGCACCGCACAGCTTCCACCCCGGGCTGAGGGAGGGACCCAGACTGGGCTGTTGGGGTCCCACCAGGAAGCTCTGTGGGCCCGGCTGCCCCCAGAACCACCCCTCGCCCTGCGGCCCCACCTGTCCCCTCCCCTTGGAGTGACCCACCCCCCAGGGCAGGGCTCTCGGGACGCCCACCTGTCCCAGCAGGGGTGTCTCCGTTCGGCTCCCTGCTCGGCGACGCCGCCCCGCCCAGCGGACCCGCCCCCTGCCCCAGGCCGTCCCCACACACCCTCGCGCAGGCACCTGTCCGCACCCGAGTCCGCTGGGCGGCGCGGCCTCCTCGGCGGGACGGGGGCGCGGGACCCGCAGGGCTCTGTGAGGCCCCGGGGCGTGGCTCCTGCCCCTCGGGACAGCGTGGCCACGCCCGGCGTCGGGGAGGTGTGACGGCGTGTCCTCCCTTCAGGGGTCACGCCGTGCCCACGAGGCACCGCGGAGCCGTTTGACGCGCCGGTCCCCGAAGGGCTGGCCCCTGGGTGGCGTGGGGGCAGGAGGCCGGCGGCCTGTCCTTCACTGTCACGCCTGTCCCCGCAGCCCAGCGGTCGGCCCAGGAGCTGCCCCTGGTGGAGAAGCAGAGCGTGGCCAGCTGCCCCGCCCTCGGCGGGAAGAGGATGGTCCTGTCCGGCCACAACTTCCTGCAAGACTCCAAAGTCATTTTCGTGGAGAAAGCGCCAGGTATTTTCCTTGAAAACGGCCGTCTCGGGGTTTCCTGTCCAGCGCGCGGTGGGGGGTCCTGGCAGCGGAGGCGGGCGCCCCGCGCGTTGGTCCGCGGGGGCCGGGCACGGGGCCGGCCGTGCGGCGGGGGTCGCGTCCGGCCGCCTGCGGTCCTGCCCGCACAAGGCGGATCCCTGCAGAGGCCGAGGCCCGTCCGCACCCACGGCCGGTGTCGGGGGGCCGTGCGAGGGCCACCTGTGGAGTGCTGTGCTCTCCCCGGCGGCGCGCGGCCCTTTGCCCGGGCTGGGTGGGGCGCCTCGGGCGGAGCGGGGCTCTCTCTCGGAATCAGACTCCCGGGGACGGGGTCCGGCGCAGCGCGGCTCACAGACCTCGGTGGCCCGGTCGCACTCCGGCTGCCCCGCTGGGTTGGTGCCAACGTGCAGCCACTGTCTCTGTGCCTGGCGGCCCTGGGGCCCCAGCCTCCTGGGTCTGAGCCCGTACTGGCCGCTGTGTGCACACGCGTGTGGGCCCGTGTGCGGGACCTGAGAGGGAGCTGTGGACGAGGCTGCCGTGGGGCGAAGGCAAAGGGTGTCTGTCCCTTGAACTGTGGGGAACCGGGCAATGAGCCGTGTGTGCAGGGCGGGTGGAGAAGCCGCGGGTGCCCAGGCGAGTGACGTGCGGGAGCCCAGCCCAGGTCGGCGGAGCCGCCCGCGCCCCGAGGTGGGGTGAGGGGCCTGCAGGTGGCCCGGCTGGTGGCCGGCGTCTTTTTTGTCACATTTCCCAACTGGAATTTTCCAGAGAGCGCCAGGGCAGGACTTGTGTTAATTGCTGAAAACCACCGAGGCATTCAGCCTCCATAATGGGCCTTGATTTTGTACAGTTTGCAGGAAAATTAAGTGCTTCAATCAGAATGGGCTTAAAAGTCGGCCCCGTCTAACATGGTCTGCCTGTATAATCATGCACATAATTGGAAAATATGTCTTAAATTACGGAGAAAACCCCACTAAGTATAACGTGAGGACAGGCATTCGGACTTCTGGAACGCCCTTGTTCGGAGGACGTCAATTTTGAAATAACTCAACCTTCCGAGCTGGAGGCGTGCGCGTGCTGCGGAGGCAGGGCCTCCGGGGGCTTCGCTCGGCGGCGAGACCCCACTCAGGGCAGTGGCACAAGGGGAGGGTGGAGCGGCTTCCTCTCTGTTTCCTGCCTCGGGACGGCACCTCGCCGGGGGCGGGGGTGGGGCCCAGCCCCGGAGGCGCGTGGCTGCCCAGCGGCGTCTGAGCACCCTGCTCCCGCGGCCGCGGCCCGGTCCCGGCCTCTGCACACTGTGGCCTCACAGGCGCCCCGGGGCGGGGGCCGCCTGCCCTCCGTGGGGGGGGCTTAGCTCAGGAACGTCCCGTCGTCCCTCCGGAGGCCCCCCTGGATGGGAGCCAGGCTGCGCCAGGCGTGGGGGGCGCCCTCACCCCCCGCTTCCCGCAGCAGCCGAGCGGCAGGCAGACGGGACTTAAACATCCTGCACCTGGGGCGTGGGGAAGCAGACGTGGCGGCCCCACGCCGTCACACGCGTGGGCGTGTCCCGTGTTGGCGGACGGGCGCGCAGTGCACGTCCCCCTCCGGGCGTGAGTCGGCCCTGCCCCCAGGGCATCCCCAGCTGAGTTTTGGGAGAAGCCAGGAAGTCGCTCAGATGAAAACACCGCTTGCCTCTCAGCGTCCAGGGAGGCCGCACGGCCTGTTTTAACACCGTCTTTAATCCGCTGCGGGGGGGCCCAGGCCACGTGCGTGGCCCATCCCGGCTGCCAGCATCGCCGTGGTTGGCGTGGACACCTCACCGAGCGGCTCTCATGGGCGTCACCCTGCCCAGGACCCCCGTCCCCGCAGGGACCCCTGTGCACACGGCCGCCTGGCCCTCCCCGGGCCCCGGGCAGCAAGGGGCTGCGGGGCCTCAGAGAAGCGTCACGAAGGGCTGAGCGGCCTGTCCCGGAGCTGCTGTTGGCAAGAGTCCCATGAGCTCCCTCAGGCCTTTCCTGGAGCCGCACAAAAGGCCCCGGTGTCGGCACAGCCGTCCTAACGGCCGGACGACTGGCCCGAGGACTGGAGTCCAGGCGTGGGGCCTGCAGGGGCAGGTGCGGGGCGGCGGCCCCGGGGGCCAGCCGCGCGGGCGCACAGATGCCCCGCGGCGAGGAGTGGGCCCGGCAGCGTCTTCAGCCGTGGCGAAGGGCACGTCTGCGCGTGCACAGCCGCTGAGACAGGCGTGGCGCCCGCCTGTCCGAGGTCCAGAAGACACCCCGGGGGGCCGGAACGCGCTCGCCTTTCAGACGTGGCCTGAGACAGAAGAGAAGGCCAGGGTTCAGAGGTGGAGTTGGATTAAACGTCATCGAACTCCTGATGCAAAAGCTGAAATGGCTCTTTTCAATAAGGTCACTCGTCTGTCTGTCTTGTTATTGGAAACAACAGTGAGGGAAGCCTGTTCTGACTCCTTTTGCTGCCAAAAAAAAAAAAAAAGCCACCGAGACGCACAGGGGCCCAAACTGCTGTCCCTTCACGTGCGGACGACGCGTGCGGGCTGGGCCCGTCGCAGCTGTGCCTGTGGCCGCCACGAGCTGGCAGGTCCGTGGGGGCCGGCGGCGACCTTCCCTCTGAGGACAGCGTCCAGACCCCCACCCCGCGCTCCCGTCGGCGTCCCCGTGGGTGCCGGGACCACAGAGGGTGCGTCCCCCACGCCTGGCGTCCCCTCAGGTCCCAGCCAGCCCGGGGCGCCCCGCTGACTGTCCCCCCCTCCCCTGCCACAAGCCAGACCACTTCCCTTTCGGAACCTCACCAGACGGTACTGAAACCCTGGACCAAGGTTCCAAAACCCACGTGGCCAGACTGCAGAGCCAGATGCGACACCGGCCGGGCCCCGCCCCAACCCCGCACGGCCGACCCGACTTGCCCATGTCCCCCCCCCCGCGGCCCCCGCTCCGTCTGTGGGTCGTTCCCGTTTGTCTCTCCGGGCGAGGCCCCTGCCCCTGCCCCTGCCCCGGGCCCCGGCGTAGCTGCTGCCCACCCGCCCCGTTCAGGGAGCCGGGCTCCCGGCTCAGCCGAACCGCTGAGGACTGAGGCCGCGGCCCCCGTGGGGCGGCCGCCGCGTCCGGGGCCTCGGGGGCCGGACCCTGCCCTCGTCCAGCGGTCGGGCAGGCTCCGCGCGGCAGCCCTCGGGCGACCGGCCGCGGGAGCGTGTTTGCCGCCCCCGGGACACAGGGAACTGAGGTGGGCGTCCGCCAGCGTGGGGCTTGCTGAGCCCGGGTCGCTCTTGTTAGCAACGAGCCGCGGGGACACCCCGACCGGCGGGCAGGGCCTGTCGCCGGGAGAGCCGGGACCGGAAAGGCCAGCTCAGAGCAGCGGGTGCAGGGGCGTGAGTGCGGCTGTGGGCGTGCCCGGCTGGGGCTCAGGACGGGAGAGCACGTGAGGACCCCCCACCTCGCCGCCTCGGGCTGCGGCCCTGCGCCCCGGCCGCGCTGGGCGGGCAGTGACCCCTGGCGGCCCGGGCGCCCCGCGCTCCCTCCGCCCGGCGCCCTCCCAGCTGGGCCCGGGCCCAGGCGGGTCCTGTTTCGCCTGCTGGGTCATCCAGCTGGCGCGGGGGCGGTGGTGACGCCCCGGCCAGGGCTGCCCCTCCTCCGGCCGGCGGCCCGGCCCGGCCCGGGGCCGCACGGAGCCCTGGTCTTCGGGGACTTAGGACGGCCCCTGGGCCGGCGCCACAGGCGTGAGCGCGGCCCCCACACCCGGAAGCCGGGCTTGGGTGGAGGACAAGCCCGCTCCCTCCGGACTTGCCTGGTGCGGCCCCGGGGGAGGGGCGGGCGACGTCCGCGCCCCGGAAGCTGTGCCACGCGGCCTGGGGGGCTCACGGGGCCGAGGGCAGCAGGGGCCTGCCCGGGGCTGCTCTGGGGGTCACACTTGTCCCCAGCGAGTAAGGGACACGCGCAGCCAGGCCCCCCGCCCCTGTGTCCTGGGCAGGACTTTCCTGCGTCTCTGGCCTCCGAGTGGAAAGACGACCTGGCAGCTCCAATCACACAGGCTCCGGAGGCCTGGGGCGGGGGGCGGGTGGGACCCCGGCCGCGGCGGGGGGGCGGGCAGTAGGGTGGCAGGTGGCGTCAGCGGCGCCCTCGCCCCGTGTGAGGGGCGTGGCTTCGGCCCAGCTCGGGGGGCCTCCCTCCCGCAGGGCTGCCCCGCGGGTCCCAGGCTGGCCTCCGGGTCCAGGCGAGGGGCCTGGGAGGGGCGTGGGCGGACGGGCTCGGCGTGGCCTCTCGCTCTCTGGACCCTCCCCGGCCCCAGAAGGCGCCTGCCCCCAGGGCACGGGGAGGGGAGAGGGGGCCTCTCCACGCACCCACGCGGCTCCGAGAGCCCGACCTCACGGGGGTTGTCGCCGAAACCTGTCCCTGGGCGCACGGCTGGCCATTCTCTCTGATTTGCCCCAAAACACATCTCTTCCTCTAGGTTCTGCCCCCAGTCAACTTCCGGAAGGTGGGCCCTGGTCCCCCGGGGGGGTCGCCTACTCCCAGTCCCACTGCCCATGGGGAGGGCGTGGGAGGGGCCACGGCGGGCGCCCCAGCTTTTGTCTCCTCCTCTCCCCGGTGCTTCCGCGCCCCCTGGCGCGCCCCCCGCCGCCCTGGGAGAAGGGACTTTTTGCGGCCGCTCTGAGACCTAGCGAACTCTCGGACCGCACAGCTCGCCTGCTCCCGTTCCGCGTTGGGTGAGTCGGAGCCACGCGCCCTCGGCAGCCACCCCAGACTGTTTGCATCGCCCCAGCACATTCGGGGCGCGTCCTGCGGGGCCCCGTGCGAGAGCTGCGCCCCGTGGAGGCCGACAGCGCCCGTGGGACACTGGGCCGCGCGCTGCGTGTCCCCTGTCGGCGCGTGGACGTCGGGGCAGTGTCCACGGTTTGTCCACGGTGCCCCGTGCTGTTGTGAGCATCAGTCGGCGCCCACGTTTCTGCGTGGAAATCCCCCGTCCATTTGAGGAACCACCGGGCCGGGTCCCCCACCAGGGGGGGATTTCCTTCCCACCCCAGTCCCCCCGCCAAGCAGGATGGTCCCAGGGGCTCTGCAGGGACGCCGCCCGCACGTGAGGCCTAGGGGGAGCTCGGCGGGAAGGCGGCGGAGGCGACCGGCCGCCTAATGCGCCCCCTCGGCCAGTGCGGAGCCCCTGGGACCCGCGTCCCCACCCCTCCCCCTCGGGCCCTCCGGGCGGCCAGGCCCTGTGCAGGCCTCCCGGGGTCTCCGCGGCGAGGTGACCGCCTGCGTGCAGGTTGCCCCCGCGCAGCCAGCTGCCCGACGACAGCACAGGCCTCACTCAGCCGCTCGGGCTCCGCTCGCCGGGTGTCCTGCACGTGTGTCGCGCAGATGCCGTGAACAAGCGCGCGGCCCACTCCGGAGGCCGGCCGACCGCCAGCAGGACGTGACGTGCGTGTGGCTGACGGCCTGAGTTGCCGGTTCCTGGGAGCCAGCGTCGCGCCAGTGAAGCCCAGGACCCTCCCTGCCTTGGCACTTGGTTCTCTCTACGCTGATTCGTGATGCTCTCGGCTCTGAGTTCACACCGAGACTCTCGGCACCTTCCCTGTGCGGTGGGAAGCCAGTCACGTGGCCCGAGAAGGCCAGGCCGGGGTCCCGGGGCGTCCGGGGGAGGTGTGGGCCCCGTGCGGACCCTGCCTGGCCAGGGCAGCCCAGCCTGTGGGCAGGAGGAGGCCGCCGCCGTGGGAGCCTCCTGGCGGGCGTGGCGGGGAGGCCGTCCCGGTGACTCAGGCTGCAGGGAATTCCCTAATGACTGGGAACATTTTTACTTCTGGGCTTGTGCACAGTTTCCTACTGAGGGCCCAGCGAGCCCCTGATAAGGCGGAACACAAAGGCCCGTTCAGGCCGGCTTCCCTTCCCAGCAAAGCCACCGCGCGCGCAGCAGCCTGGCCTGGCCAGGGCCCCGCCCGAGAGGGCGGCCCCCGCTGGGCGTGGAGATGGGAACCGAACCCCTGGCTCGGTTCCGGAGAGTCCGGAGAGCTCGCAATTAGCCCTCCATGGCCGGCCTGGGGCCTGGGCCCTGCCTCCCTCAACAATGGCCTGTGTAAACAGACACCGGTCTTTGAAAGCAGCTCCTTCAGGGTCAGCTCAGAGTGGATCCTCCGCCCCTCGGGCTGGGCTGCGGATCAGCCACAGGCAGGAAGACCTGGTGGGGGCCGGGGGCGGGCAGGCACTGCGGCCCCGGCCTGTGAAAGGGGCAGGCACGGGGGGCGGGGGGGGGGAGTTCCGAGAGCTGGGCCAGGCGTCTGTGTGCGGCTGCCTGTGCTGGGGCGCGGGGGGGGGGCGGGGGGGCGGGGCGGGGCGCGACCCAGGGGACCCGCATCTGCAGAAAGCTGCGATGGGGCGGCCGCAGCCGCGCACCGGTCGCCAGGAGGCGAGCCGCTCTCGAGAGCCGCGAGCGTCCGTTCCGTTCCCATCGTTTCTCTCTGGAGGCGATGTGGGCGGGGACCCCGGGGACCGTGTCTGGTCAGCGCGTGGGTCCCACGCACCAGGCCGGCGTCCCCGGAGCCTGGTGTGGCCCAGCGTCCCGTGACTCATGTTTCCTCTCGTCCCCACCTCCACCCTACCCAGCAGGCACTAGGAGGGAGGAAAAGGAGACTTGGTCTAATTTACTTGTGACTTAGAATTTGAAACACACGTTTCTTCTTTGAAAACAAAGCCTAAGTAGAACCGGATGCGTGTGGACGAGCCGGCTTCAGAGAAGACAAGGGGGTGGAGGCCTCCAGGGGCACGGGCATCGACGGGCTCGGGGTCTCCGCCGAGCCAGCCCCACGGCCGCCGAGCGCCTGTGTCAGGTTTGCCCTGGGGGCCGTGGGCAGGCGGCCGACCTGCCTCCCTGGGCACCCGGCCCTTCCACCGGCCCCTTTGGGAGGCTTGTGTTCTTTAAACACGTGTGCTTTTTAAAAACATTTCACCTTACCCAGTGGGTAAGGTTAAAAATACCGTGGGTGTGCATTTCTGGGTCCTCACAGAGAGAGGACTTCCTCGTCTCCCCCGCTCGCTGGAGGAGCTCTGTGCCCCAGACGCGCCCGGGCTCTGCAGGCCTGAGGTCGCTCTGCGCCCCCGAGGGGAGCTGGCAGCGGAGAGCCAGCACGGAGCCCCCCGCGGTCCTCTCGGGCCCGGGCCCCCTGTGGATGGGCGTGCGCAGACCCTCCCCGGGCCGCCGCGGGGCTGACGCTGCGCAGAGGGCGATGTCTGGGGAGCCCCCACAGCGAGGCCGCGTCCCGCAGCGCCCGGCGCTCAGGCTCCGCCAGCGTCCCCCCACCCAGGTGTGCTGGGCGTCTGCGCCCCCTGGGCACACGGGCTGGACGCCCTGCTCTGCTGGGTCACAGCCGGGGCAGTCAGGCCTGGCAGGGCCCGCGTCCCCGACGCTGAGCCCGCTGCCCCCAGGGCCCGTCTGCCTGGCCCAGACGCGCGTTTTCGGGGGGTGCGCTTCCTCAGGCTGCGGAGTAACAGACGTCTCGCACCCCTTTCTTCCAGACGGCCACCACATCTGGGAAATGGAGGCGAAGACCGACCGAGACCTGTGCAAGCCAGTAAGTATCACGTGGCGTGCCCACGCGGGGGCCAGGCGCCCCGGGCCCGCCGCGCCCCTGCCGGGTTCCTGCTGCTTTGTTGGTGTGAGGACGGCCGACAGGAACAACAGAAAGAGCACGGGCGCGAGGGCCAGGAGCGCGAGACAGCACGGTGCCCTCCGGAGGCCCCGAGGGGGGCAGGGCCCGCGGCCCCCCGCGTGCGTGGCCCGGGGCTTTACTCCGCCCCCCGCTGACATGGCCCCCCGGACCTCCAGGCCCCCGGGGGCCGCTGCTCCGAGCTCCGAGGGGGCGCCCTGCCTGCCTGGGCACGCGGGCGCCACGGTTCCCCCGCGTCCTTGGCAGTGACACCGCGCCCTCCCTCCTCAGAGAACACCCACCACGTCGCAGGCTTGTTTTCAACACGAAAGGGCTGCCCTGGGCCTCCGGAGCCGGCCTGTCCCAGTGACCGACCGGCCACTGGGCGGGGGCTGGGGAGCCTGCCCTGTGGGGTCGGGGGCGCGACCTGGGTCTCGGGCCTGCGGGGGCCACACTCAGCTTTTTTTGGTCCCTAAGGAATAGCCACTGTTTCTTTGGCCAGTTGTTCGTGGAGAGTGTGTTTGGTCTGAAATCACGGAGCTGTCCTGGCTTCCTCTCGGCTCCTGTTAGCCGGGGTGTCTGCGTCCGCCCGTGACCTGTAACCTGGGGGTTTAGGCCTCAGGGGTGCTCCCGGCAGGCGGCCAGCCTAGGTCGCGACCCACGATGGGGCGACCGTGTGCGCGGTGTCTAGGCGGCTGGCCCTCAGAGGGGTGGTAGGCAGCCACCGTGAGCGTGCCGCCCGCCCGTCCCCGGTCCTGGAAGAGCTGCGGCCCCTCGGGCCGAGAGGCGCGCCGTGGCCGCGGGAGGCCTGCGAGGACCGTCCCACGGGGGGCGGCGGCGGGCTGGCCGACAGTGGCGGCGCTGGACACGGGAAGCGCTGCTCGGCTCCACGCACGGGGGCCTCGGCTCTGAGACGTAACTCGTCCCGCAAACTGTTCCAGGCGGTTTGTTCAGACACCGAATCTCCTTGGTTTGTCGCTTGAGAGACGCAGGTCGTCAGGTAGAGAATCAAGCCCCAAAGTTTCGTTCGACAACCGGGACATTTTTATCGGAGGACAACTCGGTGAAAGGGTGCCTGATGGGGGTGCTCTGCGCCGCCCCGTGCGGTGGCGAGCGGGCGCCTGGGCGGCGCGGCGGCCCGAGTAATCTCGTCTCTTCACTGCTCGTCGCCCGTAGAGGCGCCGGTGTCACGACGGGCCTCACAGTGGGGACGCTCACGGAGGCGGCACGACCGCCGGGAGCATCTTCCCCGGGACTCAGCGCCCTCTTCCAGGCCTCCAGGGCTGCGGGGGAGGGGGAGGCCCCGGCCTGGCCGGGCGGGCAGCGGGCGGCGGCGTGCTGGCTGAGGGCCTCGCGCGCTGACTGGGGGGCCCGGCCACCGCCCCGCCGCCCTGTAGCCCTTGCTTCCCCGAGGGGCCAGAGCCCGGCAGCGCCGCTTCCAGACGGCGCCCCCGGCCCGAGCGGCCCGTGCGCGGCACAGTGGGCGCAGGCGCGCGGTAAGCAGACAGCGGCCCGCCCCGGCCACGCCCCGGCCACGCCCCGGCGGGCCGGGCCCCGCCCCCGCCCCGCCCCCCGCGCCTCCTATGGAGACAGCTCCTGCCCAGTTTGCCGTCCACGTTTTCTGTCGCTGGCGTTTCTTTCTTTACTTTGAGTACTTAACGCGTTTTACAGGAAGTGTTGCAGTTAGTTGTACGTTTTAAACGGAAGCGTAATATCCAGGTGAGCGACGGCCGGCGCCCTACGGTGTCGTCCGCGTCTCTTACGGGAGGTTCGCCTTTAAACCTCTAGTTAGAGGAAGGACGTCACGCTCGCGGCGGTCGCTGGTGCGGGCGCGCGTCTGCCTGGAGCTCCGCACGCGCTCGCCGCGTTCCGTTGTCCGCCCCTTTAAGCAGAGCGGGGTTGTGCTGTCGCTTCCGCACGGTCAGGAGCAGCGTGGGCGCGGTGTCCTCCCCGCGGGTCGCGTGCCAATCGGCGTCGCGGACAACCCTCGCTCGTGGCGCTGCGCCGCCTTCCGGGCCTCCCTTGGCGCGAGTTTCGGGCCGGTGCCCCCGTGGGGATGGTGATCTGTCGCAGGATTTGTCTGTTTAGCGTTGCAGCATATCCGCCTGTGCCCACATCAAAGCACGACCCTCCGAATTTTCAGGAAGTGACCACAACGTGGAATGGTTCCGAGAGCCCTGTCCCCAGCCCCACCCCCAGCACCGGGCTCCTTGCCGCTGTAGCCTTCGGTGCCCCCCAGCGGCCTCCTCCTGCTCTCAGCCTGGGGGGAGCCCCGGCCCCCATGCCTTCTCCGGACCCCCTCTGCGGGGCAGCCAAGAGCCAGGCCGCACCCCACCCACGGGATCTCCTTCCTCACGTCAGGACCCCCCGGGGGACGAGCCCTGAGGGGCGCCCTTGTCCCGATGCCCACCTCTCTGGGTCAGATGGGGGGCCAGGCAGGCCAGAGCCGGGAGGAGCCATGGGCGCCCACGAGGACTCGGTCAGGGGCCCGGCTCTCTGCCAGCCCTTTCGCTTCGGGGTTATTTTTGGTGAGGGGACTGCAGGCCAGGGCAGGAGATGGTGCGCTTTTGCTTCTTCTGAATGACAGGGAGGTGGTTAACACAACAAAACCTGTGGCCCCTGGGCCAGTGTGGGCCCAGGTGGAGCCCCGCCTGCCCCCCGCCTGCCCCCCGCGTGCCCCCCGCCCAGGCATCTGTGCCCCAGTGTCTTTGCCTGGGAAAGGAAAAGGCGACCTGGACTCCTCCTCAGTTTTCCTTTGTAACGTTTTGAGATTTCATTATGAACACGGTCCAATCAATTTCACTATTAACCTGGAGAACAGGCTCCAATTACTTCAACAGAACAAAGCACACAAGGGATTTTTCTGATACATTTTCCCTCCTTGTTAACTGCCATGGGTGACAAAAACGGAAAGAGCTTTTTGGATGTGCAACGTTTCCCGGGCCCCAAAACCCAGAGCTGCGCCCCCTCCTCCCACGGTGTTGGGGCGCGGAGGGAGGGAGGGCGTGGCGCTGACTTGCTTGGGGACACCCGCACCCCACAGGCTGCGGGGCGTGGGCGTCCGCCCCCACCCTTCCCCTCCCCCGCCACGCCACGCGGCCTGGGCAACGTGCTTTATTGCGTCTGCACGTGAAGGAGCAGGATGTCGTGAAACTGTTGCTGATTTTTATTTTGAAACACAGAAAGGTGACAGCAGCCGCCAAAACCACCCTGCTCCACCTCAGGCTCTGCCTCCCGGCTCTGCCAAGCGCCCAGCTCTCCATCGTCCTCGGCTGCGGGGAGTCCAGGCGTCCACGACGGGCTTTGGGTCGTGGTCGTCCCACAGCCTGTCCCCAAAGACCTGTGCCCAGAAAGCGCCTCCCGTGGGTCTTCATTGCCTGTCACCTAGACAGGCGCTCCTGGCTCCAGTGACAAGTCAGCACATGGGGAACGGGGGGCAGGGCATTTTATTTTCAAAGGCCCCTGGTCCGTGGCTGTAGGGCAGACAGGAGCGTTTGGGGCCAGCGAAGCTAGTCCCCTCGGCGTCTGCTCTGGCTTCTCTCTGCGCTGGGTCCGCGGCATCTTAGGGGAAGCCCTGGCCTGCGTCCCTGTCACACGGCACCTCCAACCGCCTTCCAGCCCCGTTGAGGGCCCTCTTCCTCACGAGCCCACCTGTGACCGGCAGGCCAGCTGCACATGCGTGTGCCCGCTCACATGCAGGTTCTCCACGGGGAGCTGCCTCCACACGGACAAACGCGCTGCGGCGCAAACCACTGTGCGGGGGCGCGTGAGGCGTTAACTGTCCCTCCTCTCTGCCTTCTCGCTCCAGAACTCGCTGGTGGTTGAGATACCGCCGTTCCGCAACCAGAGAATCACCAGCCCCGTCCAGGTCAGCTTCTACGTCTGCAACGGGAAGAGGAAGAGAAGCCAGTACCAGCCCTTCACCTACCTGCCTGCCAATGGTAACGCTGTCTTTCTAACCTTACACGCTGCCGACGACCTGGCGGGGTACTTTTTCTAAGAGACGCGGGCACGACGGGCCGCTCTCGCTGTGCAGACCCGTGGCCGCGTGGCGCCTTTATGCTGGGTCACCGTCCTGCTAGCGCGACCCTGTCCTCAGTTCCTTAAAAAAGAAAAAAAAAAAGTGAACCCTCCAGAGTATTTTCCTTTATGGCTGGAGGGGGCGGGGCAGCCCGCCAGGGTGGTCCCTGCCGTTCTGCTGGCGGCTTGCAAACTGCCCGGGGAGAAAAGCGGGCCCAGCGTCCTCAGAGCTGCCTTTAGGTTCCGTAGATGTTGACCGGGGCGGGAGGGGGGGCGGGGGGGGAGCAGAGAGCTGTAATTATTTTGCAGGTGCCTTTAGAAATAAGCCCTTGCTATTAAGCCGAAAGGCTGCTGCCTGGTGTGGTCGTTAGAGCACATTGATGTTTTTTGTGCTCCTGCTGGCAAAGATCCCGCCTGACTTTCTTCCGCGAATATCGCCCTGGGGCCCTGAGGGGCTCAGCTGCCCCGCGCCTGCCTCACCGTTTAAAAACATCAGTTTACTTGTCAGCTCTTTAGGGCGTTTGCCTAAAGAAAGCATTGTTGCTTGCGCCTCCGCCCCCTGCCCTGGTAAAAAGCGAGAGCGCGTGGGCCGGGCTGCGGCTCGGCGACCCCTCCACCCCTGGGGGCGGCCGCGGTGGCCAGAGCGTGGCCGCAGGCTCCCGGGTTTAACTGTGTTCTGTGGAAGCTCTGCTGTGCAAATGGCGTGTTCACGCTGCGGCCTTGGTTCTAAAAAACCCCGGGGGCGAAGAGGGAAATCGCACCCCAGAACTGACTTCGAGAGCAGCCGTGTTGTCACTTAGCAGAAGGACGACTTTTGGGAGGTGTGTTTTCTCTGAATGTAAAACGCCGATTGCAATAGACTGGATCACGGGAAACGCGAGGCTATCGGTGTCCACACCAAACAGACGGACCGTTTTGGCCGCAAACGCCTCGGGAGGCGGGAGGGATGCTGTTGTAAATTGCCCCCCGTGAGTGTGTGCCTGTCTCGGCTCCCGGGCCCGGGGCCCCGGAGGCGTGTGTGTTCCGTGCTCCACGCTCCTGTGACCTGGGCTCCATGGACGCCGTGAGCCCTGCCTGCCCTGGGCTGGGATAAAATATCTCTTAAAAAGGAACTACTCGGTGTTTTTTTGAAAATGTAATGATTGTCTCCTAATGACGCTTCAAGCACAGCGGACCAAACATTGAATGTTTTACAGAGAACTAAGCCTTATAAAGAAAACTTCCTTGCGAAGCCGTTTAGGAAACCGCTCCGCGGGCCCTGCTCCAAGCCCACGAGCGCCGAGCGATGCACACGCACACATGTCGGGGGAGGGCCTGTCGTGAGGGCACGTCCTGGTACGGGGGGGGGGGGGCCGAGGGCCCCAGGACCGGGGGCTGCGATCGCAGGGGCGCGGGCTGCCCGCCGGCGAGGGCCACTCCGTCCTGCGGCCTCCCCCCCGCGGGGTCAGAGCTGCCCCTGCGCCCAGCTCCAGGCCCAGGCTCTGCACGGCCCCCGGCCCCCAGCCCCCCGACCCTGGCTGGCGCCCCAGCCGCACCCGCAGGGCCCGGGTCTGTCTCGTCCACCGTGACCCGCGGGGCTCGGAGCCTGGGCTTCCCCAGCCTTCCTGGCGGCGGGAGGTCCGCGTTCGTCACCTCCTCTCATCGCTCGTCCCCGAACGTGCTCCAGCTCCACGAGCCCGGGGGGCCCACGCTGCCCGGGGGGCGCCCGGCCTGCCCTGCCGTCCCGGGCGGGGGCGCGGGGCCAGGCTCCGGGGGTGGCGGTCCCTCAGCCCGTCACTAGCCTGTGAGCTCCCTGAGAGCAGGGACTCCACCCGCGTCGGACTCTGTGCCCGAATGGTGGGACTGTCCTCACATGGTTTTCAAGATAAATAAAGGAACGAATGATCGACGAGCCTGAGTAGCCGTTTCGTTTGCTGTTTTCCTCGCCGCGCTGCCACTCCCTGGCCTCGGGACTGAGCCCCCTGGCCGCGCTGAGCGGGTGTGCCGGGCACCGGGCTGCCTCACGTCCTGAGGGCCCCCGTAGACGCCCGCGCCCGAGCGCCGCACTGCGCGGCGGCTATAGACAGAGCTCTGCGGCCGGCGCGGGGCGTGACTTGGTCGAGGAAGGCCCGCCGGCCTCAGGGCAGTGGGTTCGTCCCTGCCCTCGGACCTCAGCAGCCAGGGGTGACGCCGTGGCCACGTGACCGCGGCGGAAACCCGCCTCGGTGGTGGTTTTGCTTGCGTAGTCGGGCAGATCCGTTTTAAGCTCATACGCACATGCTGTTGAAATGTACACAGCGATGGAAACGAACCCAGTGGAATCTTCCCTCTGACGTTTGTTTCCGGGTGCAGATGTGTAAGGTCACAGCTCGTTTTGGGTTTCTCCTCCAAACGGGGGGGAGTGAGGAGAGGGCGCGGCCCTGCCGCTCTGGCCTCCGGGACGGGGCCTCGGGAAGGGGGCCCTGAGCTCTCCCCCAGATCCACCTGCCGGCCGGGGCCCCTGCCCGGGCGGCCCCTGGCGGTTCAGGACTGGACCGGAAGGGCACGGCGTGTGTCGGTCAGAAGAGGGCGGGGAACGGCCCTCCCCTTTCTCACTTCTCGTCTGAGCCCCAGCCTCACCTGGAGACCGCAGGCGAGCCTTCTGACCACAGCTTCCGGGGTGGTGCCCACCTTGGCCCCCCGCCCCCGCCTCCCCCTGGTCATGTGTTTGAGTCAGTGGCTCGGGTGGAGGGAGGGCGCGGGGCGCGGGGCGCGGCGCCCTGGGCCGGGGCTTCGGCGGCTGCCTCCCCCTCGGGGGCGGGGGAGCTGCGTGTGTAACAGGGAGAAGCTCCCGGGTGCACGTCGGGCCGGGAACGGGCCCCACTGTCCCCAGCGCCGTCCCCGGGGGAGCAGCCAGGGCAGAACAGAGGAGCATCTGGGGCGAGGCCAGAAAACGCCGCCAGTGCCCACGCACACAGGCCGCGGGAGGTGTCCTCGGGGCCCTCGTCTGTCACAGCTGGCGTCCGGCGGGCGAGCGGGCGGCAGCTGCCCCGTCGGTCCAGCCCCGCGTGTGGGCCGGGGCGCCGGCGCGCGCCACGACCGAGAGGCCACCAGGCGCAGCCAGGGCCCTGAGAGAGCGCCCACGTGCCCCAGGAAAGGTGGCGCGGGCGGGCGGGGGCGGGGGCGGGGGGCGTCCCGAGGCCGCGGCTCCGGCTGCTCACCCTCCAGACGGCCGCCGCCGGCCGGGGCGCGCAGGGCAGGGCAGGCCAGGGCTCCGACGAGGACAGCACTTCCAGGCGTGGCCTCAGAACTGCGTAAAATGAGGAACGTACCTCAGGACGGATCGTGGGGTCTTGGAGAGTTTGTCTTTCCTCTGAGATGTTTCTAGGTGGTTCCCCAGAAACACCCGAGGTAGCGGGGCCCTACCCCCCCGTCCCCCGCTGGACGGGCGTCCTGGAGCTTCACCAGGGAAGCCAACCCACCTCTGCTGGGGCGTCCACCGGCCGGGACTCCCCGCCCGGGGGTCCCGTGGGGACAGCCACACAGCCCCATAGAACCTCTGGACCACGGGGAGCAGCAGCTGTGCCCCCGGGGAGGCCTTGACCAGGTCGCGGGGGCCCCAGGGTGGCCCTGCCTGGCGGGGAGGAGGGTTTGTGGACGCTGCCGGCGACCCCGAGAGGCGGGGACCCTCCGGTGTCCTGCTCTCCGGTCGTGGTGCGGGGGCCCCGGCGAGTCAGCGCCGCCGTAAGGCGACGGCCCGATGGGGACGCACTGCCGCCCCCCGGCGGGGGGGCGGGGGACGCAGGCCCGGGGGCTCGTACGGGTTACTCGGCCCAGAAGTCGGAGCAGAGCGAGGAGAGGCAGGAACAGGCCCGGGCCCCACGCAGCCCTCGCCGGTGGTCCGCGGGGCGGGCGGCGGGTCTCTGGGGGCCCCAGCGCAGTGAGGCTCCGTCTCCCGTGCATTTGTCGCATTAAAGTTTAACCCCGAAGTGGCTCCCGTTACGGACTCAGAACACACCCCCTCAGTGGCTTCAGGTCACCGCTGGCGTCCGGGAGAGGCGTGGCCATTCGGACCTCAGCTCCGGCCTCCCCCGTCCTGCCCGCAGCCCCGGCCCCTCACCCCAGGGCCCACCGGGGCCTCGACCCGCAAACGTCCCTGTTTTGTAGACAAGAAACGAGCCTCTGCAGCGTACGCCGCGGGCCCCAGACACGCGCTGGCCCACCGCGGGGCCTGTGCCACCTTCAGAAAGGCTGCGTGCGTCCCTCCCGCCGGGGCTGACCTCGCCTTGTCGGACAGGAGAGGCGGCACGGAGGGGCCCCAGCTGCGGTCCACGCGGGCGGCCGGGCCGGCGCCGCGTCGCGGAACCCCGACCGGCTGCAATGGAGTGGAAGTGCCGGCGGGTCTGACCCCGCCGTCCGTCCCGGGACCTTCCCCCCAAAGCCCAGGGGCTGGCGGGCAGCGGGCGGGGGCGGGGGTAAGGAGAAGATGCTGCCCAGGGGCCAGCCTCCTGCGGGGCCCCGAGACCCCGGAGCGCTCCACTGGCCAGCTGCTTGGGTTGGGAGCGTGGCTGGTCCTGCAGACGTTCCGGAACCTTCTCCTCCAGGGAGTGGGCTGGTGTTGGGAGCGGGGCCGGCTCCTGGCGGACGTGCTCAGGCTTCGATGTCCCTTCTCGGTCGAGGCCCACAGAGCCCCGCGGCCTTTCTCTTTAAATGCCTGGCTGTACGGGCCCTCGTGCCATTCCAGCCGGAAGTGGGGGGCGAGCGGTTTAGTCTTTCTTTCCTCATTTTAAACCTCATGGACTATAGGTGCCCCGGCGCCAGGTGACGTCCCGGGAGGGGCGTGGGGCCCCGCGTCAGACCCCCCAGGTGGAGCGAGGCCGAGGCCCCGTCAGGGTGTGGCAGGCACAGGGGCGGGGAGCCTGGCCGTCCACGCGGGCTTCCTCCACGCGCCCGGCCTGTGTCA